GGCCGAACAGGGTATAGGGTTACAGCCTGTGTTGGACGGGGTCGCACTCCCCCTGAAGATGCAGGTTCGCAGCTTGGGTGTGACTCTGGATTCTTCGCTAAGCTTGGAACCCCAAGTCTCGGCGGTTTCCAGAGGAGCATTTGCACAGCTTCGGCTTGTGCGCCAGCTGCGCCCGTATCTTGGGAGGTCGGACTTGGCTACGGTAGTCCACGCTCTTGTCACATCCCGTATAGATTACTGCAACGCGCTCTACGTGGGGTTGCCCTTGAAGACTGCCCGGAAGCTTCAGATGGTCCAGCGCTCGGCAGCCAGGTTGCTAACGGGAGCGGCTCTCAGGGAGCACACCACCCCCTTGTTGAGCCAGCTCCACTGGCTGCCAATTCGCTACCGGGCACAATTCAAGGTGCTGGCTTTAGCCTATAAAGCCCTACACGGTTCCGGCCCCACTTACCTCTCCGAACGCATCTCCACCTATGAACCAGCACGTTAAGATCGTCCGGGGAGGCCCTGCTCTCGGTCCCGCCGGCGTCACAAGTGCGGCTGGTGAGCACGAGAGACAGGGCCTTCTCGGTGGTGGCCCCTCGGCTATGGAATGCGCTACCAGTGGACATCAGGCAGGCCCCTTCGTTGCTGGTGTTTCGGAGGAGGGTGAAGACGTGGCTCTATGAGCAGGCATTCGGATAACTATGCAGTGACAACCAACTCAATACTGACGGCATTGAACAAGGAATGAAAAAGGATTATGAGATCGGAATCTGATTCTAAGTGAGGCGTTGATGACTATGTGTGTTGTTTGTGGTTGTGTGTCTCAGATATTGTTCAGTGTTACTTTTTTACTGTAAACCGCATTGAGTCGCCACCTCAGGCTGATAAATGCGGTATACAAATGAAGCAAATAAATAAATAAATAAATAAATAAATACTAATATAGTCTAAAGGGGACTGTATTTTGGAATGCCATCCTGTGTTTACAGATGCCCTGCAAACAGAAATTGAGCACAACCGGTGAGGAATAATCTGGTATAGAACCTTTTTCTCTATCCTACTCATTTTCTGCGGTCGCGGTAGCACAGTGGTTAAAATGGCTAGCTGCAGGAAAAGCTGCTGACCGGAGGGTTAGCAGTTTGAAGCTGTGAGTTGGGGTGAGCTCCTGACTGTCAGCTGTAGCTTCTGCCAACCTAGCAGTTCAAAAGCATGTGATATGAATAGCAGAAATCTAAAAGGGCACCCTGTGCAGATATGCAGTCATTCCAGCAAAAGGTTTGGAGATGTCATTTTAATTGGCATGGAAAATGGAACAAGAGCACCTCCCCATGGCTGGAAGTTGAGCAACGCCTCCAGACACCAGAGATGCAAAGGGGAAGACCTTGACCTTATCTGTGTATTGTATGTCATTATTCATTGTGTTAAAAGGCATTGAATGTTTGCCTATATTGTAATCCGCTCTGAGTCCTTCTGGGAAGATAAAGCAGAATATCAATAAAGTGTATAACGATGTAAATGAACATTCAGATATGGCTTCCTACAGTCTAAAGTGGCACAAGTCTGTTTTACTACCCTACTTTCCTATATTACCTTATGGATGTAAGTTCAGAGAAGAAGCTCATGATTGGCCATGAAATCTTCCCTTCAGCTTGTAAGTGAGTCTGTGGTTCGCTTCTGCCAGGAAAGAGCAGCACACTCTGTTACCTGCCTGCTCTAGCAAGTAACATCTGTTGGGGAGCCCAACATCTGTCGGAAAGAGAGCAGCTGGTGAGGAAGGAACTTGTCAATTCTATACTCAAAGCTCCTGCTTTGACATAACTTGGATCAAGATGAAAATGAAAATAGGACGAGTTCTCTTTCTAAACATGAAGTTTTCATTAAAGATGAACCTACCATGGGGAGTTCATTTTTAAAACATTCTGATTTTCATTTCGCCAGTATTCTGTGGTGTTCAAGTAGAAAGAAGACAAACCTCTAACCTTAGAATGGTACGGCTGATCGTGAACTTGCAGGAGAATATCCAATTATTCTCCTATGTGTCCAAGCATCAGTGCTAAGGATGAGGTGACAATTTGTAGTTAGCCAACACAAAGAACAACATGTAGATTTGCAGATTCCAGACAAGTCTTGTTCATCTCCTATAAAACAGACAGTAAAAATCCCACAGACCGTTAAAAGTGACATTCATTTTATGAAATAAGGTTTGGGGATATGACAGGGCTTCCCTACCATTTGTTAGAACAGTGTTTCTCACCTGGGGGTTGCAAGGGGGGTGTCAGAGGGGTTGCCAAAGATCATAGAAAACACAGCATTTTCTGTTGGCCATGGGGGTTCTGTCTGGGAAGTTTGCCCCAATTCTATCGTTCGTGGGGTTCAGAATGCTCTTTGATTGTAGGTGAACTATAAATCCCAACATCTACAACTCCCAAATGTCAAGGCCTATTTTCTCCAAACTCCACCAGTGTTCATATTCGGGCAGATTGAGAATTCATGCCAAGTTTGGTCCAGATCCATCATTGTTTGAGTCCACAGTGGTCTCTGGGTGTAGGTGAACTACAACTCCAAAATTCAAAGTCAGTGCCCACCAAACCTTTCCAGTATTTTCTGTTGGTCATGAGAGTTCTGTGTACCAAGTTTTATTCAGTTCCATCGTTGGGGGAGTTCAGAATTCTGTTTGATTATAGGTTTACTATAAATCCCAGCAACTACAACTCCCAAATGACAAAATCAATCTCCCCCAACCCCACCAGTATTCAAATTTGGGCCAGGCATGTGGGGGGGGGAGCTTGAGGGGCTTCAGCCCCCCCCCCCCGAAGTTCTCATGGTGGTTCGCGAAAAGGCCTTACTGGTGCATTATTTAAACTGTTATGTTTATTCATATCATGATCTGATCACCATACTCAATATATCCCATATGCATGGGGGTATTGGTATACAAAAGGTTTGCTAGGCTAGACCGTCTTGCACTCAGACTCAGCGCCCCCCCCCAAAACAAACCCACCCCCCCCCCCCCCCGAATCAAAATCCTGGCTACGGGCCTGATTTGGCCGTATCGAGTATTTCTGCCAAATTTGGTCCAGTGAAGGAAAATACATCCTGCATATCAAATGATTTATATCAGATGATTTATAACAGTATCAAAATTACAGTTATGAAGTAGCAAGGAAAATAATTTTATGGTAAGGGGTTGCGGCATTAGGAAGGTTGAGAAACTCTGTGTTAGAATGAGTCAACCAGTTGTGATAGCAGATGGATATCCCTTTTGAGCATATGTCCACTTTCTTTTCTCAGAAGACAGAGTTTCCCATGCCGCTCTAGATTTAGCTTCCTTTCTGCATGACAACTTCCTCTCCAAATGACAGCAGGAAGTGATCACCTCCTGTCACTATTTGGGGTGGGGGCTGCAGAAGAAAATGGGCCTGCTGATGGAAATGTGACCTCCAAGGAGATAAAATGGCTCCCTGGTATCCTACACAGTTGCTCATTCTTGAAATAGCCTTTAAAATAACTCAGAAATCTATTATTTTACAGTAATTTATTTCTGAACAAAATAGAGCACATTAACTATCTATGCCAGTCAAAAGGACCCCAGCTAGCACAGTAAGAGCAGAACTGGGAATATATACAGTTGATGGTTTATCCAAAATTAAGGCATACAACTACTAGGTAAAATCGAATGCCATGGCAAATGACAGACTACCAGAACTGTGCCTGTTAGAGCAGACAAAAAAAAATCAATATCAGACCTCTTGTTTAAATTTTGTTATTATGGATATATTGTTGTTGTATTCGGGCATTGAATGTTTGCTTTTTATGTTTGGAATCCACCCTGAGTCCCTTTGGGGAGATAGAGCAGAATATAAATAAAGTTTTATTATTGGCTAGTTCAACTGACAAAATGCATTAGGAGTTGTGGACTTCCGATTCTATAGCCATATCTCCTAGAAGAACTAGATCCAAAACTTGTTGCATAACGAATACTGGATGTAAAAAGACATTGCTACCCTCAGTAAAGCTGGCTCATTGAAATGGCTAAGTCATTTTAAACATACTTCTCAAACAGCCTGATATCAAAAGACAGAAATGTCTAAACACATCAGGAGGGTATTTACCAGAACGAGATTTGAACACCTGGACAAAATCGTCAGAACTGGAAGGCTTAACCAAGTTCCATATAATGAATGATTTTGTATCTGTGGAGTGGCAGAGGTAAAAGAAATCACACATGTACTGTTTAGTTGTAACTTGTATAAGAAAGAGAGAAACCAATACATTTTCCAAAAGACACACTGGGATCCTTATATAAAAACTAAATTTCTATTGGCCGGCCAGAATATTGAAATAACATACAAAACAGCCCTTTTTCTATTTAAAGCAACTCAGCTGAGAACTACATATTTGGAGTCTATTGTGTAAGTTGTAGGGATGATGCAGATATTTGACCTGGATCAGGATCTTGACCCCTTGTTATCAGTTTGCTTATTTTAACTTTGATTGTAATGTAGGTTGTATGCTGTATGTGTTAAATGTGTTTGTTAAATGTTTTGATACAGGCAATCGGTTAATCAATACAATGTATATGATATATATGTCAGTCCACCTTCAATCACAGACCTCCTCAATGCACCAAATACTGTTAATCCTCTTTGAGTTTACTTGCTTGCTCCTCAAGGCAAGACCATAGGTGGTTGTTTCCAAAATAGCTATGTCTAACATCATTTCCGAGGACATTACCTTGGAACTATTAGCTTCCTTGCTTAGAAGAGAGGAGTTACATAGGGAATTCCCTTTCTGCCTTCATGCAAGGACATATCTAGTTCATTCTTGAGAAGTAAGACGGTCAATTATTTTAGAACTGAACAAAATATAGACTTACTAAATATAAAGTTAGTAAGATTGACACTAGTGTGGTTTATATTAGAAAACATTTGGTGAAAAGGCAGGCATGAATCTTGCACTATCTCCCTTCCACATAGCTAAGTTATAACTCGACTTTGATATGGTTCTTTTTGTAGAGCTGGAAAATGGTATGTGGTCCCTCCATCACAAGCTTTGTTCCATCATGGTGAAGCAAGAGCAGAATATGGCTCCTGAACTTCCTGAGACCCAGATGTCAACTAATGAGGTACCCATGTTGAACCTCAACCCACTGCAACGGTTGCCAGTCCCTGAAGAGGTGAGTCCATTGCACCTGGAGTGCCTATCACAGTCAAAGCATCCAAAGTTCAAGCTTTGGTATTACATATTGGCTCTTCACATCCTTCATTTTAAATCAAAGATAGGGTATCTATTTCAGCCCAAGATCCAGAATTACTTTCAGAAATGTTTGTAAACACCACATTCCAGTAGAGCATATTGCCTAAGGTTACCATGTCAGGACTATCCAAGGCCCTATACAAGAAGGGCTAGGAATGCACTTTTATGATGTCATGGGCAGTGATGGTGATTTTACAAGGATGACATTACAAAGACGCATGATATATTGATCAGCCACAGTTGCACAGAGTATGCTATTCACATTCAGTAGTCTAACAAATACACAGATGTATGCATGCACGCACACACACACACTTCACATTGGTGCTCTTGCCTTGCGATTCCTCCCTCCTGTCCTGAGGACTAGAAAAATGGGTCAAGAATCTGAGCTCTAGTCACCATTATGAGGCCAGAGGAAAATTGGCATAACTAAAAAAAGAAGTAGCTTTATTTTAAAGCAGTTTTTGCTTTAAAATGCTTAGAAGACACATTTCAACTTTTTAGAATAGGAAAAAGCTCTGAAACTGCAAAATTTATTTATTATAAGAAAACGAATGTGGCTGTCTAGGAAATCCAGAGACCCTCAAAAAAGCCAGATTCAGTCCAGGGTGGGTTAATCTTGGTTAAAAAAAGCCATTCTAAGCTAGAAATTTGGAAAGAAAACCAGATCGTTCATATTTGAGATATCCGAAAGAAAAAATACCAACAGAATGTATCTTGGGTTTGTGTCCAGCCTATCTTCGCAATTGCATCTTTCCCTATGAATCTGCACAAGTTCTAAGATCTGCTGGGGAGACCCTTCACTTGCTCCCATCTCCGTCTCAAACACTGTTGGTGGGGACAAGGGAGAAGGCCTTCTCAATGGTGGCCCCCTGGCACTGGAACTCTCACTATGGAGATTAGATTAGTGCCTACCTTGTCCACTTTCCGAAAACATGGTTGTTCCAACGTGCTTTTGACTAATCTGTTCACTAAATGAATTTGCCTTTTTAACCATAATTCCTAGCCCTCCTAGCCATAACCCATTCTCGACTCTTCCACTTGGAGTTGTATTGTATTAATGTATTACCCATTCTTGACTCCCTGGCCTGGAGTTGTATTGTATTAATCTGACTTGGCCCTTTCAGCCTTAATTTATCACCTACCTCTCCCACTTTACCATCAGCCCTTGTTCGGGCAGTCGTATTGCACAAGCCTTCCCTCGTCCCTCAACTCGGGAACGTTCATTATGCTCAGCTACTGGTTGTTGTATGATGAATTATGTTTTTAATTATGTGTTATGATGTTTGTATATGTATTTTTCTTTATATATTTTACTTTGTTTGATTGGGCTGAGACCCCATGTATGCTGCCCTGAGTCCTTTCGAGGAGATGGTGGCGGGATACAAAAATAATGTAGTAGTAGTAGTAGTAGTAGTAGTTATGTCTGGTTGGAATCTTTATGAGGACTGAATGTAAAACTTCAGTTCTGGAAAGATATGCTTGAAATTTGCAAAACACATGAAGCCTGTGTCGATCTTTTACTGATGGCTGCTCATTCAAATGGGAAACAGAATCATCATCAGCAATAGTGGCTGTGCCGTCGCGCTTGGGGGCTATTAGTCTTAAAAGGAGGATGGACGTGGCATCTTTCCCCCAAGGGATTGCTTCTTGCCCTCCTTTAGGAAACTGGAACTCCCAAGAACCCAAAACGATGTAAATAACTCAAAACAAGTTTTATTTGTCACAAAGTCATTTCTTCAATGCAATAAACTGGAAAACTTTAGCAGGGTGAAGGAAAAACACACTTTACAGTCTCTTTTAGTCCTGGGTCCAAGGGGTTTGAAGCTGAGAAGCCTCACCAGGTTTCCTCTTCCTCAATGGCTGAGTAAGCCGGAGCAAAACCACAGCCCCAGTTCAAATGGCCTATTTTGAAGATTCAGAATCTTCCTCTGGTGCCAAAAGAACTGGCTTGAAGGCGCCTGGGTCTCCTCAGTATCGTCCAGGATGATCTGGACATAAAGCATGAGTCCCAGGGGTAAAAAACCTCAGAATTGGTGCTAAGAGGTAACTTAACAGGGTCCTTCAAGAATGAAGTCTGTTACTCACGTCCATGTTGCAGGAACTCTCATCGCAGAATGAAAAGAAAAGGAAGTTCTCCCCTCTTGCAGGAAGAGGTGGAGCCAAACAGTGCTGATTGACAGCTACAAGTAACCAATCCATACAAATATACAGACACATGGCAAAAGGGGCAGGATTAAGCATGATACAACAGTTTAAATCTTACAACTAACAATTCTATATATAGGTGGCGCCACTCGCGCCGTCACAGTGGCAAACTACCATTAAAATTGAATTTGTGCAACACAACTCTTGAATATAATGGGACTCCTTTTTTGCTGTCCATTGACCTATAGTTTTTAGGTTTATTGGGCTCCATTAAATCAGTCGAGTAAACCCCCTCTTGATTATGACTTGCAAAGTTTCATTCTACGGTGGAATGAACTTAAATATTAAACGTTTGCCCAGTTTCCTAAAGGATACATAAACAAATACTCAGGTTTGTAAAAATTGTGGCTGAAGAATATATTCCATATCTGTATTATTTCACAGGCTCCCATAGAGATGACACCCCAACCTGTAATCAAAGCTGAACCCAGAGAGGTGAACCAGTTTCTAAATGTGCCAACAGGTAAGAATAATAGCTGCCTCACAGTTCTCACTAAGTGCATTTTTTCCTGTAGAAATAATACTTTTTGATAGCACTTTAAATGCATTACCAGCTCCAATCCATGATGCCTCACTTTCTCAGAGTAAGGCATTGTGGGTAAGGGCCAGTGATGCTGCTGTTTTCCTGTGACAATGGCAAATAGAGGTTCTGAGTGCCCCTTATTTTAAGAGCTATCCCAAATTTGAGGGTCCAAAAGCTTGTGTCTTTTATGTTTGTCCCTTAATACATATATTTGATAGCTGGAAAGTCTCTTTTTATAGAGGCTGAATGAGATGTCAAAAAAACCCCCTGTATTTTGGGTGTAGGTCATCTAGAAAGACATAAATGTGTGCATTGGGTAATTTATGAATATGGACAGTGTGTTAATTTTACACTGAAATATATTCCTAAACTAACTGAAAATATTTTCATTTGGCACAAACTTGTTCATAGTCACCTCCTGACTGGCACCCTACAAGTCATTAATTTTAACTATCCCTTAATGCTGTTTTGAAAATCTGGCAATGCTAGTGGCAAATACTATTTAGCGTTAGCATAAACCTTTGGAATTACCATATATACTCATGTATGAGTCAACCTCACATGCAGGGGCGGTTCATCCATTACGCAAAGTAAGCGGTCGCAGAACACTTTTTTTGCCAGGGGTGCAGAGGCACCTCCGTAAATGCCCCTCGACCACCACTTGAGGAGCGCCCCCTCAGCTCACAACAGCCCTAGCAGTCCGGGGGGAGCCTCGGCTTTCTTGCCTCGCTGCCAGGCGATCCTCTTCCCAAAGGGGCCGGGCCCTTGAGCCTCTCATTCCTGTTCCACCCGGCCATCGGGTGCGTGAGCAGAGCCGCTGCTCAATTGTTCTCCGCGTTCGATCCCTTCCCCATGACCAGCTCCCTTTCCCGATCCCCCGGCGCTCCACCCGCCTCTTCTCCTCTCCCCAATCTGCGGGTGGTCCAAGGGGTGGAGCCACCGTGCCTGGCCCGCTTTGGGTCCAGAGGCGTGTCTGAAGACCCCAGCGTGCGCACCAAAAGTCGCCTCTTCTCCTGACTTTCTCTTCAGCCATTGGGACCAAGAGAGAGAGAGAGAGAGAGAGAGCCCCTCCGGCTGGAGGTATCTCCCACCTCCGCTCCCTCCTTTGTTTTTGCACCTACCTTCAGGAAAGGTGGGCATCTCCACCTCTCTCTCTCTCTCTCTCTCTCTCTTGGTCCCAATGGCTGAGGAGAAAGTCAGGAGAAGAGGTGACTTTTGGTGCACACGCCGGGGTCTTCAGGCACACCTCCGGACCCAAAACGGGCCAGGCAAGGGAGCAAGTGCGGCAAGTGTAGTTACTGGGATGTATAGTTCACCTACAATCAAAGAGCATTCTGAACTCCACCAATGATGGAATTGAACCAAATATGGCACACAGAACTCCCTCGACGAACAGAAAATATATATCAATGATTGGTTGGGGGAGGGGGACAAAATACTGTTTGCTTACCGTTGAAAATTACCTAGGGCCGCCTCTGCTCACATGGCAGATTTTGAGACTAAAATTATGGATTTTGATATGACCTGTGGATACGTAGAGGGTTGTTCTGTGAAGAGGGGAAAACACCAGTGCCATCTTAGGGGCTAACCGCCTCTAGCTCCTGCTGCCATTTTCTTTCCTGAGCATTCAGAAAGACCAGAAGTGGTGCCACCATAGAGAGAGTAAAGGTTCTTCCAGGTTGGACTAAGATCTTGCCTTTTGCCACTCTACTCAGAAAAGGGGGTGGGTCCTTTTTTAAAATAAGAGTTAAGGTACAGCACTCACATAGACCTGTGGATAGGTCAATCCAGGTGTTCTGTGTTGATTTTTTGACTATTTTTTCTAGGATTACGCATACATATATAGGGTACCTTGAAGTTTAAAGTGGTCAACAATAGCAATAGCAAGACTAGGGTGAGCAGCCATTATTTTATTTACAGCATTTAATTCCACCCTTCTCACTCTAAAGGACACTCAGGACAGATCACAGAACACATACCCGGCAAACATTCAATGCTGTTAAACAGACAGGACAGACAACAGATAGAGGTATATATTGGCATTTCCCCCAACTTCGGTGTCCTAGAGGTTGTGCTTGATTCTGGCCACAGGGAGGTGATGTTGCTCAATCCTCTATGACGGAGAGCCCTTGATCACAGACTTCCTCCTCCTTTCTTTGATTGCTGGCATTATCTGGTAGTTCCTTTTTATAATACCACAAAATACCTCCCCGTTTAAACGGTGCCTAATTTCTCTACTCACAGCTCACAGCTGTTTTCGAACTGCTTAGGTGGACAGTGAGCTGTATTAAAGGTACTTACTGCAACCCAGGCTTCGAACTGCCAACCTTTTGATTGGTGTGATCTACTCCTGTTGGTGATTAACCAGCTGTGCTAAAGTCCGTTCACCTGGGCTTTGAGAAAGAACCAAAAGTGTGGCACCAAGAACCAAATTGGCTCCAGGAGTCTGGAACATGCACGCTCTCATTGCTAATACAACAACATCATTTTTAAAAAACCAAATTAGGGGAGGAGGTTGAAGTGGCTCCATTCACCTCACACAGAGCAATCTTCTGCACTGAACTTGTCCTGTCTAGGTGTTTGCCTGTCTACAAACATAGACAGCAATCAGATTTTGAGATTTCACCCTTAAATCCATATACCATGCTCATTCTTTTTATGGCACTTTGCAGAGCTCCATAACAGTGTAATTCAGTTCCTGATGAGATCTAAAATTCTGCCCACTGCCAGTGCATTTAATGGGTTCTTTTATTAGTGGGGTTGGGGAGTAAGTTATTTAGGAGCAAGTCATTAGACAAATATTAATATATGGGACCGGATTTTATGTATCACTGTAAAGGATCTCAATTTTTTTCCAGAAGGATAATGACATCAGGAATGCAGCTTGGCAGTAATAACACACTGCAAAGGGGGCTGGTTAGCAGAAGCCAGCACATTTATTTACTTTTAAAATGTAATATTTCTCTTAGGTAGAGGCTACTCATTTTGAAGTGAATAAGTAATGTTTCACACAAAATATTTGACACTCTTGGATGCTTGACTCCTTATTTATTTCATCAAAACAGGATTTCTTTATAGTGTAGCCTTTAGCTAGTTTAATAGGTTTCATTAGCAGTTCAGAAAACTGGGAGATCACACTGGAAAGCTGGCACTTATGCAAATCCAGGTTCTGGCAGGCATTTCAAGAGAGTAGTGTCCAAAAGAACTGGAAGAATTGCTGTCATGATGGGGGATCTTTCACAGAACACAATTATGCCATTATAATTTGGGTTTAACTGGCATGGTTGCATCCTGTAGACTCCTAGCATTTGTATTTTGGTTAGGCTCCAATGGAGTCTCTGACTGAGATTTTTAAATGCCCCCCCCCCCCCCCGCAGAAAAACCCCTCCAAATCCCAAAATCCATATGATGTTGTCATGATGGTTAAGTGGAATCACAGTGATACAATTGTGCAATGTGAAAAAGCCCTGGAAAATGGCAATTACATTATGTAGCTCATTCTAAAAGAACAGAGGAAGGGAGTAGCTTTATATATCAAGAACAAGCATACAAAACACTTTATTATAAAAAAAAAATAGGAAAAAAGCAAGAATACAGTCTGAACGATACCTTGCTGAAATAAAAGGTTTTCATGGGAACAGTAATTAGCATGAATAGTAGACTTCAAATAACCTGATAGCTGACATAGAACAACTCTATTATCTCATAGTCAGTAGCTCAACTGCATATTTACTCAAAATGTAACAGGTTCTTTTGCTTGTGCTGCTAGTATAGCTGACATAATAGTTTCCAATTTCAGTAGTGTCTATCATTTTATTAATAGCAAACAAAATAAAAATGCCAGGTTATTATTAGATTGCCCTGTTCTACAAGGAACTGTCTTATATCTATTCAGATAAGTAGATCTTCTATGAGGAACATCTACTTTTACTGACAGTAATAGTCCAAATTCTGGTTTTAAAATGTTTTTAAACTGGCAATACCAAAACAGGGACATAGGATATCATAAAGGATCTACTCTACCAATCACTTTGTGCGTGTGCCACCCAAACGAGACAGGGTGAGTTCCCATCTGTCACCCCCAGCTTCCCATGTGGGAACATGAGAGAAGCCTCCCACAGGATGGTAACACATCCGGGCATCCCCTGGGCAATGTCCTTGCAGATGGCCACTTCTCTCACACCAAAAGTGACTTGCAGTATATTCTACAGTCGCTTCTGATACAACAAAAAAACCCCAAAAATCCAATTTTAACTCACAGCCATTGCCATTGTTTAAATGAGTCTAGAACTCAAACTGACTGCTTTTTGAGCCTAGAAATCTAAGTGCACAATTCAGTGCTGGTGTCTTTGTGTAACTCTTCCTGATCTTTGCAAATGTAAAGCAGCAGAGAACAATTTTGTAGAAGGAGGGCCTTCTGAGGTTCAGAAACTGGGAGAAGTCCCCACATGTTTTTAAAACCCAAAGTAATATATATCCTCTTAAAATAAATGCAATGGCAGCAAGGTTGCAGGTGTGGTAGTAACAGAACTTTGTTTGCCATTGGGCAGCAGCAGTAGCAATTCTTCTTTCTGGCTTTCTCTCATAACCTGGGAAACAGAACAGTTAGGCAACAAGCCACCATCTTCCTGGTTAAAGTAACCCAAATATGGTCTTCACAGCTTAGTTTACTCCATCCAAAAATTGAGAGTTAATGCACAGTTCCTTTTTGTCAAAACTTTAACGGCGCTTGGCACAGACTGTGGATTTAGCATTGAGTAACCAGTGTCCACTAGGCATTGATTGATGGGATCCAGTTGGGGGGAACTCAGTGGATGTGGTCTGGATGTGGTCTTGTACAGTAGAGGATTGAAGCTTTCCACACACTCAGAGAGACCAAAGCTGAGGCAGCCTAGCAGGGCCCTAGAAAATCAGGCACCAGACTGGATCTGCAGACTCATTGATATACAGGCAGGCTGATTAGTGCTTGAATCCAGACCCATGTACAAGCTAACCCTGTCTACAGCTGTAACCAAATTAAGTTGTGGCCTTTTGTCCTCCAACTTATTGTAGGTTTATTGTTCAGTTGCTTACCTGAACACGCAAACCCAAACCACATTTTTTCCCTGTAAGCAAGGTTGCACACTTCACTTTAAAGGAGAATCTTACTTCCCGGGAGGTTGAAAGAATGCAGTTTTCTTATTTTGGTCCTTTCTCCAATTTCATGGTGGCTGTTGAAAAAAATCAGATAGGAGGGCACATACAACCAGGACCCCTCTGGTGCCTGTTTCTTTTGTAAGATATGTTGCTGCTTTGGGATTGGCTTGATCACCAATCCATCTCCCATTCTCCATGTCTAAATCTCATCTAGATATGTTTTTTTTTATCTCTCCCACTTTTCTCATTCAATAAACTTACTATCTTTATGAGCATGAGTGTTGCTACTCTTAACGTCTTCCTTCTACCTCCCAAATTAGATGATTTGGTGCAGATGCCTCCTACCCCTCCCAGCAGCCATGGCAGTGACAGTGATGGATCGCAGAGCCCTAGATCGTTGCCTCCCTCCAGCCCTCCTCGCCCCACTGCTCGTTCCTCCACAGCAATCTCTTCTTCTCCTCTTCTCACAGCACCACACGTAAGCAAGCAAGAGAGAGAATGTAATAAAAAGCATGCACTTCCTTGGCCAGAGCATGGAGGTCCCATGTGGCTCTTTGTAAGCATGCCTTGAATACAGTGAAATGATGAAACTACTGTACAGGTTGAGCATCACTTATCCAGAATGTCTAAATACTCCAAAATCACCTACTATTAGCATGGAAGGTGGAGACAGTTACACATTTGCTTTCTGATGTACACAAACATTGTTTCCAGCACAAAATTATTACAATTATGTAATAATGATGACTAGAACTGGATAGGATTATGACAATGCGGAATGAGCTTACGGATTTTGAGCTTGGCGAACGTTGATCACTAGATTGGTTTTTATTAGTTGTACTGTATAACTGGATTGTTTTAATTGTTTTATAATTGTTGCTGCTATGTATTTATCTTACTATGTATATTGCCGGCATCAAATTGTGCCTTTTGTAAGCCACCCTGAGTCCCCCTTCGGGGGTTGAGAAGGGCGGGGTAGAAATACTCGAAATAAATAAATAAATAAATAAATTATTGTGCATAAAATTACCCTCAGCCTGTGAGTATAAGGTGTATAAGAAACATACATGGATTTCATGTATGGATTTATGAATGTATATACAAATATGGGTATTCTAAATCCAAAACACTTCTTGTTCCAAACATTTTGGATAATGGATGCTCAACTGCACTGATTCAATTTTAAGGCACCTATTCACTTCTGCCAACATTGCTTCTATGTGGCTTGAAAACAAAGTTTGGCAGGGTGTCGTCCATGTATAGTGGAGATTACTGGCTCCTGTGTTATTGAGATTTGGAATTTATTCTATGTTGTAGTCTGAATTTTCAATGAGCTATCAAAAACAGAGAACCTATTTTAGCATGTTTTATTTATTTATCTGCCATACTTATACCCTGCCTTTCTCTACCCCAGCAGGGGGACTCAAGGTGGCTTACAATAGCACATAAACAGTGCCTCAAAACAACAAATTCACATTAAAATAGTTGAAAATTACAACATATTTAAAATGGTTAAAATACATTCAATGTTAAACATACGCCATCCAAAGTTTAAGGTCTAAGGCCATTCCAAGGTCAAATTGCACATAATTGTATATTCGGCATACTGCATTGCCCTAATTTTCAAAAGCCTGCTCCCAGAGCCTCGGGAGTTCCACAACCGAGGAGCCACCACTGAGAAGGCCCTGTCTCTCATCCCCGCCAGCCGTACTTGTGAGTCAGGTGAGACCAAGAGCAGCCCCCCCCCCCCAGATGATCTTAGTCTCCGAGCTGGTTCGTAGGGGAAGATACATTCGGACAGGTAGCCTGGACCAGAACCATTTAGGGCTTTATAGGCCAAAGCTAGCACTTTGAATTGTGCTTGGTAGCAGACTGGCAGCCAGTGGAGTTGATGCAACAGGGGAGTTGTATGCTCCCTGAGCCCTGCTCCAGTACTCCATGTTGGCAGTAACATCCCACTGTTTCCCAGTCTAGAACTCAAGGTGGCTTAAAAAGTTAAAAGAGATACAGCCCCAAAAAGCCTATATTGTACCAACATTTAAAATATAATCAAGCTAATAGTAAAATCAAAACTGTTTGAAGCATGATCAACAAGGCATTTTTGGTGCTTAAACTTTCGAAGTGCTTCCCCCATGGGATATATGCCCCCCCCCCGGGCTATATTTTGATGTCACATGAAAACATTCTTATTCCAGTAGGCCTTATGTCTCAATGTTGTACTTCTTAACACCATTTTTTCCTCATTTTAATTACCAATTTGCTATACTACTCTCTGTCCTTTTAACTTTTTTAAAAAAGAGCTAATTGGCTTGGGCCCTAAGGTGAATGGATCGAAGGAATATTTCCTGTTCCCTCCCTCCCTCTGCACTTTTTTTTCTCAACAGTAGGACTCAAAATGGCTTACAATATTTAAACCAACACCAATTTAAGCACATTTAAAGCCTCTTTCTATCTCTCTATATATGTGTATAATCTCTCTCTCTCTCTCTCTATTAAAATGCAATTATTCCATGCTGTTAAAACAATTTCCAATTCATTAAAAGACCAGAAATATTATTCATTATTGATGTTGGCTACTATGGGTTTTTTTCATTTAAAAGATGAATACATATTTGCCTACACATGGTTACACATGCATATGCACATACATGTATAAAAGTTAAAATGTGTACACATCCATTAAGAAGAAGTTGCTAAGCCTGCAACTCCCTCTTAGGGAGTTTTTTTGCACTCTATTTTGGATTTCCCTTTTCATTTCAGCTCAGCAGAGAATGCTCCATTTAATATGAAGTCTGTTTTCTAGAAAATACCATACTTAATATAGAAACCACAAGTATCTGCATCAACAAACTCAAGAGTGTCACTTCACTCCATGCCTTTGATGAAATAGACTTTTGTGAAAGCTTATGCTACCAACTTCATTCTCTTTGTATCAAAGGTGCTGCAAAATCACAGGGCACCTTAAAGTCCTAAATTCTAGTTCAGCACTAGATGTTATCCAAAATACTGAGTTTTTCCTCTTGAGAACTATGGTTTCTCCCACCCGTCAACTATATTAGTAGAATAGCAACCTAGGAAGGTTGCATTTTGGCCCCTTATTGCAATTGCGGATAGATCCTTCAGCTAGAGATATCCCACATGTTATCTCTTCCTTATCTCCTCCCACTAACTAAAGACAATACTTCATATTTTTGATGAGCGGGGCTCTGATACTTAAAGGCTTCCACTGCAATAAGTCTATTAAAGTTCTGTGTCACAGGATTTGTATTTGGCCGTACAGTAGTACAGACTGGAGAACTACAATATCCCATGGGATAAACAAAAAGTTTATTATGTTCCAGAAGGCCTGTAGTTAAGGAGTACTATTTCCCCGCCACCACTTCAAACCATATAACACTTTGAAGTCTCAGGCTGTAGTATAATACTGAGATATTTATTGTTTCTGAATGTACAGTAATGTGCACAAAGCTAAGCCATCAATCTAATTTGTCACCAGGAATCTCCTTCCATTTACTCACTCTCTATTTCCCCATGTATTGGTGAAATCTTTTGGTACAGGATTCCATTTTCCCCACAGTGACATATTTGTTGGTCTGTATTCTGAAGAGGTGGTTCTGCCTTCTTCTTGCTTGCAGAAGCTACAAGGGACTTCAGGGCCCCTGCTCCTAACTGAAGAGGAGAAACGTACTCTGGTTGCTGAGGGCTATCCCATCCCAAACAAGCTTCCTCTCACCAAAGCAGAGGAGAAAGCACTGAAAAGAGTTCGGCGGAAGATCAAGAACAAGGTATGTAACCCCAGGGTGCACAACAGCCTTCCCCAAATTCATAGTGACCAAATGTTCTAAATTCTGGCAAATCACCCCCCTCCTCCCCATGTGTGGTGGTACCTACTTTTTGTTATGTATAGTGTTTCAGGAATCTTGCTTGGTGGTGGGAATTGCTATTTGGTACTTGCTGTGTGTTCACGTTCAGGATTTTAGCTGAAAGCTTTTATAATCCCCATAAAATATAGTGGCAGTGAGGAGTGGCCAAAGAAATCAAGTAGGAGCATACAACTCGGGGAGCACACAACTCCTCTGTTGCACCAGCTCCGCTGGCTGCCAGTTTGCTACTGGGCACAATTCAAAGTGCTGGTTCGAGCCTATAAAGCCCTAAACGGTTCTGGCCCAACTTACCTGTCCAAATGTATCTCCTCCTATGAACCAGCTAGAATGTTAAGATCATCTGGGGAGGCCCTGCTCTTCGATCCTGCCTGCATCACAAATACATTTGGCGGGGACGAGAGACAGGGCCTTCTCAGTGGTGGCCCCTTGGCTATGGAATGCCCTTCCCAGAGATATTAGATCGGCCCCTTCTCTGTTAGCACTTCGTAGGAAGGTTAAGACCTGGTTATTAGAGCAGGCATTCAAAAAGGCAGTGTAACAAATATTGGAACATGAAACGACAGGATGATGAGATTGAATCTTAATTTTAACTAAGAGATGCCATGAGTTATGTACAATAGTATTGACTTTGTAATGTTTGTATATTGATGCTATGGTTTTTAATTGTTTTAATCTGTTTTATGATGTTCAAGCATTGAATTTTGCTACTGTAAACAGCTTTGAGTCACCCAAGGGCTGAGAAAAGCGGTATATAAATTGAGTAAATAATAAATAAATAAATAAAGATTCACACCTAGCCCAACTTACAAAAGCCCTTTGTCTCACCCTGGTTATTCCACAGATATATAAACCCCTTTTTTCCCAGTTCCAGCAGACCTCACCTCTGAGGATGCTTGCCATAGATGCAGGCGAAACGTCAGGAGAAATGCCTCTAGAACATGGCCATATAGCCCGAAAAAACCCACAAGAATGAAATAAATAAGTATTGGAGCACACATGTCAATTTGGATTTTTCTTCTTCTGATATATATCTTTTATATTTTTTTGAAAAAGAAAAATTCTCTTAGAATGGGAGTTATTGTTTGGTTGTTTGAAACCATTTCAAATACCTCAACCTCTATCAAGGTTTGTCCTCACTCAGAAAGGCCTGTTTTTCTATCTTATTTATTTATTTATTTATGATATTCATTCCTCGCTATTCTTAACCCTGAAGGGGACTCAATGCAGCTTTACATATAGGCAATTATTCAATGCCTTAAAACAACATATAATTAAAATAAACATAAAATTAAAATCAATACATATTAAAACATTTAAAGCATTACAATCACTATTAAAACTACGCCATCCATAATCATAGTCTGAGGCCATTCCAGTAATTATTGCACATAATCCATATCCATCAATTCATCTATTTCACTGCAGTTATTCTCTGAAAACTTGATCCCAAAGCCATGTTTTCACTTTCTTTCTGAAGGCCAGGAAGGAGGGGGCTGATCTAATATCACTGGGGAGTCAGTTCCACAGCTGAGGGACCACCACTGAGAAGGCTCTTTCTCTTGGCCCCATCAGTCGCACCTGCAGATGATCTTAATCTCCAAGATGATTCATAGGGGGAGATGCATTTGGATAGGTAAGCTGGGTCAGAACTGCTTAGAGCTTTATAGACTAAAGTCAGCACATTGAATTATGCTTGGAAGCAGACTGGCAACCAGTGGAGCTGATGTAACAGGGGAGCCGTGTGCTCCCTATACCCCACTTTGGTGAGTAAGCTGGCTGCTGCCCGTTGGACCACTTGAAGCTTCTGAACAGTCTTTGAAGGCAACCCCACATAGAGCATGCTGCAGTACTCTATTCAGGATGTAACCAGAGTGTGGACTACTATGGACTACCATAGAATCATAGAATCATAGCGTTGGAAAAGACCTCATGGGCCATCCAGTCCACCTCCCTGCTAAGAAGTAGGAAAATTGCATTCAAAGCACCCCCAAAAGGTGGCCATCCAGCCTTTGCTTAAAAGTTTCCAAAGAAAGCTTTTAAGCAACACATTCTGAGGCAGAGAGTTCCACTGCCGAAACTATTACCAATCTCACTCATGCTTTATTCACGTCCCTTTTCTGAGAATTGCCTCACCCTCCACCAGTGGAACAGTTTACAATATAGACTGATTGTATCTGTTCCTGCATTAGCTTCCTGAGCTATATCTGGGATATTTATAGCATTTCTGTGATTTCACAAGATGACAACGTTTGGACTTCCCAGCTGCAGAATTTAGAAAACCTTCTCCCTGTTCTTTATATTAATACATCAAATAATAATTAAAGATAGGGATAACTTTATCATTCATGAAGACATGTTTCAGTATATTATTACTCCTTTACAAACTGGTATTAATTATTATTATTATTATTATTATTATTATTATCGTTATTATTATTATATTTCTTATCTCCCTCTCCTTGAAGCACGTGACAACATCGCTAAAAACATATAATCATCTAAAACATTTTATAAAATACACATATTAAAACATATTTCTACAAAATACATATTAAAAGATGCAGAACAAAATTGAAACATAAATGCAAATTTAAACTTTGTGATTAAAACTGGCTGGAGGTCCGCCAGAAGAGGAATGTCTTCAATTGTGTTTTAAATTCCGACAGCTCATTTAGCTGTCAGAGCTCTTTCGGCAGGTCATTCCACAGTCTCGGGGCAGCTGATGAAAAGGTCCTCTGGGTGGTGGTTGCCAGTCAAGTTGTGGCAGGCTGGAATAGCCGTCCCCAGAGGACCTAAATGTTTGGGGTAGATTATACAGGAGAAGTTGATTCTATAGGTAACCTGGATCCAAACCATGCAGGGCTCTAAAGGTCAAAACCAACACTTTGCAGTTTGCCTGGAAACTAATTAATAACAAATAATAAAAAAACTTTATTTATATCTCACTCTATCTTCCCGAGGAGGCTCAGCCAGTGGAGTGACTCAGTATGGTGTGTATTGGTACAAAGGTAGCCCAATGTAAAGTGCATTGCAGAAGTCCAGCCTTAAGGTTACCAGTGCATAGCAGATGGTAAGGGTGGTTGGTCTCATCAGATAACTGTTGAAGAGGAATTGCTTCTCAGCTAAATGAATATTAATGCTAATTATGAATCGTTACAAAACCCGAGTTTCCATATTATGAACATACAAGGCCTCATACTAACTGTGACTCAGAAGTAAGATCCTAGACAAGATCTCCATCTGGTATAAATTTTGTTAGCTGGTTTTAGAAATTCTGATCCACAAAGATCATTGTCTACAAGTTGGTTTCCATTATAATCATAACATAAAGTTGATTCATCAACACTTGAATGTTTTAAAAAGTTATGCTGATGTAAGTGGGAACTTTATAGATGGTATCCCAGAGACAAACTAATCACGTTCCCTGGGATTAACACATTTTCTCAGCCACACGATTTCCTCACAGATATGTGCCTCAGCCAGGCATGTAGCCAGAAAAAAATGGGGGGGGGGGCGTTAAACTCCCCCCACAGACGACCTTTCAGGCCTGTGTCTCCTTTTATGGCACTAGATCCCAACAAGGCCCTGAAATTACCATCATTGTACAAAGGTTCTTCATAGGCAATAGGTCCTGAATCATTGCTCCCTCTTTAAGCCGGTTCTTTTCAGCCACAAAGGACCATAGTTTCCACAACTGTTTTCTTCTGCTTTCTTCTTATTTCCTTTATCATCAAAATGTTTTCCACTGTGAATTAGCAAGAAGTTTTCAGCCAAGCACAAGTTGTTCTGATGATACTCTGCTTTTTGGTGTTTATTGAAAATTTCTATTGCATTTTTCCATTGCACAAAAGGTTTAGCATCTTCCAAATATCACACAGTACAGAGTACTTACAGAATGCACCTTGTACATGAAATGAGTAGGCCTTCCCAAATAAACCATGGAACACGAGCGAAGACAAGGAGCGGTGTCATTGTTAGATCTTTGATTTTATATGAACAAGACCTGGTTGTTGTAGGTTTTTCAGGCTATATGGCCATGTTCTAGAAGTGTTCACACCTGATATTTCGCTTGCATCTATGGCAGGCATCCTCAGAGGTAGTGAGGTCTGTTGGAAACTAGGAAAATTGGGTTTAAGTATCTGTGACATGTCCAGGATGGCTCCAACAGACAAGAGTTCTTTCTCCCACCCTGGACATTCCACAGATATATAAACCCAATGTTCCTAGTTTCCAACAGACCTCACTACCTCTGAGGATGCTTGCTATAGATGCAAGCAAAACATCAGGAGAGAATGCTTCTAGAACATGGCCATATAGCCCGAAAAACCTACAACAACCCGATCTTGTTCATATAAAATCAAAGGTCTAACAATGACACCACTCCTTGTCTTTGCTCCTGTTCCATGGTTTATTTGGGAAGGCTTGGATTCGGTAGTTCCCAACCTTTCTTTAACCAGGGATCACTTTGACCAGGGGCCACTCTCCAACATTAGTACCAAAAGGGTACCAAAAGGGTTACGAATCAGTTTTTAGTCAACTTTAAATTTGGCTTTCTTATTTGGTGTGCTGATTCAGAAAATTTGGATAGACCACATCAGCTCTAGTTTCTAATACAGAACATATGCCACCCAGTAGTTGCCACCTATTCACCCACAGAAAACCGTATTTAATAATCTAGAGCTGATGTGGTCTATCCAAGGGGTCAGGACTGGTCAGTGACAGGGAAGGAGTGGCAGGTAGTGCGAAAGGAGTGGAAATAAAATAAAATAAAATAAAGAGGAAGGAGGCTTGCGAACCAGATTTATGGCCTCATGGCCCACTGATGGTCCACAGCCCACAGGTTAAGAACAATTAAATGAACCACTAGTAGACACCTCAGTTTACAGTTTCCTCAGTTTTCACCTGCAATTCAGATCAAATTGTGGGTAGGTTAACTTGGTCACTTACACTATATCAGCTATTGCAGATAAGTTGGTAGAAAGGTATGCAATACTAGTGTGAATAATCAAAATTTGGTTGAGATAGTGCTTGTCGTTCTGGAGGGACTCTAATTTTTGCTTTTCATATATTTGGCATAGAGGTTTGATTAACTGGTTAAAATTCATAAACTAGGTTTTTTTTATCTTTAACATTTTGGGGGTTGTTTGAACCCCTAAACCATCCCCTTGGCTTGGCTTCAGCCATTATAGTTACAAATGAAGCTTTTTATCTAACTTTCATCTGATCAGTCACAAAAAACATGCTAAGTGCAAGACATATAAATGAGGACAAGCATGCAAAAGACACATTTCACCACTTAAAACAGCACCTCTTCTCAAAACACTAAATATTGTGTCAACTTTAACCCTAGGCAGAGTCCAGTCCTACTAACACATGAGGTGCAAGGAGGACATATCAAGTCATAGTTTTAATGTGGGTTGGCATTCTCGTTTGAAATACAGGAAGCTAATGTATACTAATTAAGATTAGGAGTCTACAGCAGAATTTTCTATTTTGTCTGTTGGTGGTGCTCTCCCATCCCTATTGCCAGATGACAACAACTAAAGCTCAGATATTTTTGCACATAAAGCACATCCTCATCTGCATGAACATATGAAACTTTCCTACATAAGAATCATAGGGTTGGAAGAGCCCAACCCCCTGCCAAGAAGCAGGAAAATCACATTCAAAGCACCCTTGACAGATGGCCATCCAACCTCTGTTTAAAAGCCAAAGGAGCCTGCACCACATTCTGGGGCAGAGAGTTCCACTGCTGAACAGCTCTCATAGTCAGGAAGTTCTTCCTTAAGTTCAATCTCTTTTCCTGTAATTTGAAGCCAGTGCCCGAAGTCGTTGTCTCCAGGGCAGCAGAAACAAGCTTGCTCCCTCCTCCCTATGACTTCCCCTCACATATTTATACATGGTCATCGTGATTCGTGTCTCCTCCCAGGCTTCTCTTCTGCAGGCTAAACATGCCCAGCTTCTAAAGTCAATCCTCATAGGGCTCGGTCTCCAAATCCTTGATCATTTTAGTTATTTTAGTTATTTATTTACTACATTTATATACCGCCCCTCTCAGCCTAAGGGCGACTCGGTGCAGTTAATAATTGGCAACAATTTAAAGTCAAAACAATTACAACAAATAAAGAATCATAAAATACTATTAAAACACTAGCAAACAATATAAAAATATAAAAACCGTACAAAGCCTTAAGAACATTATCATAAGCGTCGTAAGCATCATAGTTGCTCTTCTCTGGACACATTCCAGCTTGTCGCCATCTCCCATCAATTGTGGTGCCCAGAATTGGACACATTATTCCAGGTGTGGGCTGACCAAGGCAGAATAGAGGGGTTGCATGACTTCCCTGGATCTCGACACTATACTCCTATTTATGTAGGCCAAAATCCCAGAAGAAGAAGAAGAATCTTACTGGATTAGTCCAAAGATTTATCCAGTCTAGCATTCTGTTCCCACAGTGGCCAGCCAAATGGCCTGAGGGGAAAATGTCCTCCTAACAGATGTTTTCCTAGCAGCAGACTTGAGGGCAACAACATCCTCCCAAGTTGCGTTCTCCACTAACTGGTATTCAGAAGCACATTGTCTTTGGTATTGGAAGTAATATTTAGCACTCATTGCTTTAATATACTGCTATTAGTCCATCTGGGCCAGTTTCCTTTGATCTGAGTAGCAGCAAACTTTACATAAAACAGAAAATCTATGAATAAACTCCCATGGCTTTTAAGGATTAAATGTAAAACAGCAGGAGGAAACCCATGTAAGACTGTGGCTAATGGGCTACAAGAGGGCCTCTAACTGTTTCCTTTCTTGATTTTTTTCCAATTTTAATCATGCCACTTTGGAGCTGCTATTTGAAACAATTACAACTACCTGCCAGCATTGCCTGGCAAAAGCAAATATCTTTTTGCAATGGGGAAACCAATGTTTCTGATCCCCCCCCCCCCCCCCCCGCAAATACTTTTAAATGAACAAAAGCAGATATCTTGGGCTGGATTAACATTGCCATATAATGTAGTTTAAATCTGCATTATATAGTCAGTGTAGACCCACATAATGCAGTTCAATTCATTATATATAATGCAGTTAAACAACATCAACTCATTGTGCAATTATATATAATGCAGTTAAATGACTGAACAGATTCAAACTGCCGTGGTAATGCAGATTCAAAGGAGTTGCAGTGGTAGGATGGTTAAACCCTTGTGCTGCTGAACTGCTGTCATGAAGGTTGATTTAACTGCTGATGAAGGTCAGCGGTATGATCTGCAAGACAGGGTGAGCTCTCATTTGTCAGCTTCAGTTCCTGTCAACCTAGCTGTTGGAAAACATGTAATGTGATGTGTAAGTAGATAAATAGGTACCACTTTGGTTGGAAAAGGCAAAGAGTTGCTCGAAGCAATCTTGCCAGCCACACCATCAGGAGATGACAATAATGGCTCCTCGACTTGAAAATGGAGGAAAGCACCTCCCAGAGTAGATACTGTCTCCAGAAGCCGGAAATGAAAAAGGAGAAGCTTCTGCCTTTTTTGTGTTTGTGTGTCCCATTGTTTATAATTGTAAAAGCATTGAATGTTTGTGCGGCACTTCATCACACTAGAGGAAAAAATCCACTTAAAATCTGGTTTCTGCTACCTACAGAATTCTGGGGTTTGTAGTTTAGGGAGGAGCCTTTAACAGCCTCACTAAACTACAAACCCCAGAAGTCTTCAGGAGGCAGAAACCAGATTTTAAGTGGAATCTTTTCTCTAGTGTGATGATTATGTAAAATGCTGTAATCCACTCTGAGTTCCCTAGGGGAGAAGGGTGAAATATAAATACAGTGCATTCTTATTATTTTTCATTATATGGCAGTGTAGATCCAACCTAAGTCAGAAATTACTGTATCCATTTAGTTTGACCCTCATTAATATTTCCACCCTCATTCATCAGATTTCTGCTCAGGAGAGTCGGAGGAAGAAGAAAGAATATGTGGAGTGTCTGGAGAAAAAGTAAGTTGGTTCTGCTTTCTGAGCAGCCTCTTTAAGTTAATTTTAGACTGGCAAGGTCACTGGTTTCTCTTGCACTTGACTGAATACTGAAGATTACTGGATCTGCAAGATGGCAAACCTCTTCAAAAGACATGCATCCCTTTTATGTGACACCTCATACAAATGTTTCTTCTTTTAGGGATCAGTCACTGCCCAAATACTCTATTTCTTCCTTTCTTAGTTTATATTCTGCTTTTCTCTCCAAAATAGTTTTCAAGGTGGTTCAAAATAATAGTATGTTTTAAAAAAAACCTGAAACAGAAAACAAGACCAGATATCAAACAGTAAAATTAAAATGGCTGTTTAAAAATAAATCACGTTTTTATCATAACATTAAGAGAAGTATGGCATGCACCTGGTAATGAGCTTCATCCTCAGTAGCCAGTTAATTGCCAAACTCAATATTAGTAGGTTCTTACCATTAACATCATGATAACTCTGAAGACATTTAATCCACGACCCCCAAACCTTTTTTTTATTTCAACCCAATCTCAGCCTGTGAGGCAGTATGACAGATATAACCCATTGCTGGTTATGTGCCAATAGATCGGGCTTGGACAAACTTCAGCCCTACAGATGTTTTGGACTTCAACTCCCAGAATTCCTAACAGCCTCAGACCCTTTAAGCAGCTGAGGGGGGGAAAGGAAAAGGCCTGAGGCTGTTAGGAATTCTGGGAGTTGAAGTCCAGAACACCTGGTGGGCCAAAGTTTGCCCATGTCTGCAATAGAATTACACAGATTATCCTTGGTAAGTTATATGTTTCAGTGTCAAATAAATGAGTCACCTGAAGTATATCTAAAGGTGATTATAGAGCATTTGCCATTGCTTCCATCATAGGCTGAGAGAGTATAACTTGCCCAAGGTCACCTAGTTGGTTTCTATGGCAGAGTAGGAATGAGAAGGAACCCTGGCCTCCCAGTGTCCTAATCCAACCCTCAAACCACTATATCACGCTGGCTGTTATATATAGATAATGTTGCTAGAAGACCAATGATGGAAGTTGTAATTCAACCTATTTAGGAAGGAAATGAGTTTGGGGAGGCTGGATAATAAATGGGTTAGTCTTTTTAGTGCCACTCATCTATATTAACAGTAATAAGAATAAGAAGAGTAATAATACACTTTATTTATATTCCACCCTTCTCCTCTAGGGGACTCAGAGCTGTTTACAGCATACATAGGCAAACATTCAGTTTACAATCATATACAATGAGACACACAAACACAAACGAAGGCAGAGGCTTCTCCTTTCATTTCCAGCTTCTGGAGGCAGTGCTCATCTCTGGCTCTGGGAAGGTACTTTCCCATTTTCAAGCAGAGGAGCCTGTGTTGTCACCTGCTAGTTGTGTGGCCGGCAAGATTGCTTGGAGTATCTCTTTGCTTTTTCCCACCGAAGTAGTACCTATTTATCTACTCACATTTGCATGTTTTGAACTGCTAGGTTGGCAGGAGCTGGAGCTCACCCTGTCTTGCAGATTTGAACAGTCAACCTCAGGTCAGCAGGTCAGCCGCACAAAGGTTTAACCCATTGTGCCACTGCGGCTCAAACATTATACAAAATTCTTTGTATTTTATGCTTTATGGGGCCACCAGATTCTCAGAGAATAGGACATCAATTGAATAAATAAATGTGTGCAATGTTGCATGTTTTATCATGCACTTTAAAATCAAACCATATTTCCGTTATGTAAATGACACATGCATGTGAGAGGGAATTTGTGTAGGCTTGTTTAAAAAAATGAAAGCTAACCCTGTAGTTTCCCAAATACTGTAAATTGTTAATTCAAGATGGAAGACAAACCAGAGTTGTTACAGCATACAGATTCCCTAAATCCTGTTTCCATCAATTGAATTTGCTAGAGGGTGAGAAGTCAGTGGCCTTGAGTTTGCTATCAAATACACTATCCTTCATCCGTTCTCTATGGTCTCATTGACCTTCCTTTGGGAGTGAATGTGTAAATGAAAAGAATGTTAGGTTCTCTTCACCCATGGAGTTCATTGAACTATTTTGGTTGCAGCCATCATCTTCTTAGCTTAGATTAGGCTAGCTCAGCCAACTTCACACGTCTATAGTGAATATATTACCAAGTGTTATATAAGATGAGGTTTGTATAACTTTAAACCTTAACAGATTGTGGAGCAGGAGTAGATACTGTAAAGCTCAATCAAGGAGGACTAAGGCCCCTTCTAGGCTGCTATATAAAATCCAGATTTTCTGCTTTGAACCAATTGTTTGAGCCATCTTCTCCCATCACAACTGTTGTGGAGAAAAGAAAGATAGGCACAGAGGAGTGCCCAGCTCTGTTCTTTTTTTGCCAAAAGACATCATCCATTGGACCTGCATAACTTCCCGAGAAGCCAAAATTATCTGGGACTTGCATGGGATAATTATTCCAGGACTGTTGCTAGTTCAGTTACATCTGAAGTTTTTCCTCTTTGAATTCCAGGTTTCACTGCCAGGGTTTCTCAGTGAACTGTAATGTTAAATAGTTATCTGTTGTCTTTCCACTGACTGTTGAAGATCTTTCTGTTTATTTAGGAACCTGCATATCAATCACATGAAAAGAAGTTTTTTTAATTGGGGTGCATTTTTATCATTTTAAGGGTCTTTAACAACTCTTTTAAGTTAAGGTTTTAATACAGGCGTTTACTTGTTTTAAAACTTTTGTTATTTATTGTTTTAACTCATCATGAGCCTCATTAAGAGGAAGAGGAGATATAAATAAAAAGTATATGCATTTTGGGGGAAAGAGTTGTATGTGTAGTTGTCTCTATGTTATAATCAGCACTGCATCTTTCTCCATTTGAGGTGCTCTGTAAGCATTTGGACTGTAACGCCATTAATCCTCAAAAAACATTGTTGACCAGAAATCAACAATGCTATTTGAGCTTTGTCCTGGCTGCTGTTTACTGAACCAATATGTACCCATTGACTTCATGTCTGGTCCTCATGGAGCAGATTCTGGGAAAAGGTGTGGACATTTAGGGAAAATGTGTAAAGGGAACTCTTTTTTCTCTCCCTTTTCCAGGGTTGAATCATATACATCTGAGAACAATGAATTGTGGAAAAAAGTGGAGACGTTAGAAAATGCCAATAGGTGAGTGGAACCAATGTTGGTGTTTGAATGAAAGGTGCTGCCAAGCAGGAAGATCAGGGGAATGCTGGGAACACATTGCAAAAGAGAAGAGCAACACGCTCTTTTACTTCTTGGCAGATCCTGAGATGTTCTTCAAGTCTTTGGGGTCTTTTTCCTTCTCCTTCAATAGAAATGGCAAGTCAGCTGGATATGGTTAGCCAACAAGGAATATTTGTGTTGGGACACAGGAAAGAAATTTTCAGCTGAGTTGGAGAGAGATTGGCAGGCTTTTTCTCTCTGTCCTTCAATTCCATCATTGTGGATTCCATTCCCAAATCTAGCATTTAAACTCTGTTGCTGAACTTGACTCCAGAGCTCTCCTTAAGCTAGCGTTTCTCAACCTGTGGGTTACGAGGGGGTTTCGGAGGGGTTGCCACACATATATTTCTGGTGGTTTTAGGAATACCTTTGGCAGAGGAGGCTGAAGATCTCTCCGCCTGTCCTTCTCTTCCTTTTTGGAAACAGACAGCGAATCCTCCCACCAAAAGCCCTCCTCCACTATGATTAGCAGGGCTCTCAACCGGCCTCTCAGCCAAGGGAGGACTGTTTCTGAGACTCCAAGTGGGGAGGGGAGAACAGGCGTGCTCAGCACATGGCAGTGTGGTGCGAATGTACAGGTGAGGGAGAGCGTGCGAGGCTGAAGGGAGGTTCACGCCAGTGAGTCCCTTCAAGGCATGGGGTTCTATTTAATTCAACTCCATCATTGATGGGATTCAGAATGTTCTTTGATTGTAGGTTAACTATAAATCCCAGCAACTACACCTCCCAAATGACAAAACCAATCCCCCGCCCAACACCACCAGTATTCAAATTTGGGCGTATCGGGTATTTCTGCCAAATTTGGTCCAGTGAATTAAAATACATCCCACATATCAGATATTTACATGACGATTCATAACAGTAGTAAAATGACAGTTATGAAGTAGCAACAAAAATATTTTATGGTTAGTGGTCACAACAACATGAGGAACTGTATTAAGGGATTGCTGCATTCGGAAGGTTGAGAACCACTGTCTTAAGCTGACATCCTCTTCCTGTTCTCAGTAGTCCTCTTGGCCTTGGGCCTGCTTGTCTGCCAGTCTAATTAAAATCTACCTAGGAATGGCTTCTAGTGTGAGGCTTAACATCAATGTCAGCTCGGAAGGGAAGGAAGGGAAGGGACTCGAGTCAAGTGGGACTGAGTTAAAGAGAGGAAGCCATGGTAGTCCTGATTTGCTAACTGCAGAAATACCACAGTCCATAGTTAACCTCTTGAAAGAGTTTATTGGTAAAGTGAAGGAATTTTAGACTCTTGTCATTAATGGTTACAGGGAGAGAGACATTTTAGGTGGTAATATGTTTTATTTATCTTATTTCCCATGGGATGCACCAGCCCTGTTGTGTTTGCTCCCTGCCCTCCACCTAAAGTTCTGTCCTAGTATGACATCACGAGAAGGGCTGCATGTAAAGATAGAATCTAGTCAGTGGAACTGGATGTCATTTGGAGTTTGTGATATCCCTGCATGCAGAAAGGAACAGTGAGGGAGAACCTAGTTGTCCACAGATCATTTTCCTATGATTTTTGAAGAGAGAATAGTGCTTCCAAGAAGTGTTAAAAAAATCTTGGAGTCCTCATGGACAAGTTAAACATGAGCCAACAATGCGATGCGGCAGCTAAAAAAGCCAATGGGATTTTGACCTCCATAAAGAGGAGTATAGTGTCTAGATCCAGGGAAGCCATGCTACCCCTCTATTCTGCCTTGGTCAGACCACACCTGGAATACAGTGTCCAGTTCTGGGCACCACAATTGAAGGGAGATGTTTACAAGATGGAATTTGTCCAGAGGAGGGCAACTAAAATTATCAAGGGTCTGGAGAACAAGACCTATGAGGAGCGTCTTAAAGAGCTGAGCATGTTTAACCTTCAGAAGAGAAGGCTGAGAGGAGACATTTATGCCCATGTATAAATATGTGAGGGGAAGTCATAAGGAGGAGGGAGCAAGCTTGTTTTCTGCTGCCCTGGAGACTAGGATGCAGAAAAATGGCTTCAAACTACAGGAAAGGAGATTCCATCTGAACATTAGGAAGAACTTCCTAACGGTGAGAGCTGTTCAGCAGTGGACTCTCTGCCTTGGAGTGTGTTGGAGTCTCCTTCTTTGGAGGCTTTTAAACAGAGGCTGGATGGCCATCTGTCGGGGGTGCCTTGAATGGGTTTTTCCTGCTTCTTAGCAGGAGGTTGGACTAGATGGTCTATGAGGTCTCTTCCAGCTCTATGATTCTATGAGAAGTCTATGAAAGGCAATTATGACTATGGAATGGTTTTCTTATGGAAGGCCTGTTTTCAAAAGTTAAACTCTTGTATGCAGTTGGGCTAGAATCCTAAGGACTGGTGCCAGATACAGTTTGATAGCTCCTTCGTCTAAGTAAACTCTTCCTCGGCCAGAGCTTTGGAAGTTTTACTCTTTTAAAACCACAACTCCTGAAATACCCCAGCTAGCAGTCCAAAAAGTTAACTTTCTCAAGCTCTGCACAAGCATGTACTCTTTTTCTCTGTCTTTAAATCAAGGGTGGCATATCCCTGTAAGGCTCCACTAGGGGCTCCTGCCTTACATGACATAAGTACCTGAGGTTGCATAACAAACAGACTCTGGCCATAAACTGAGCAGTTACCTGAACAGTCCAAGGGGTCCATTTTCCTATCTCACAGCCTCTTTGCCCCAGTAATTAGTTTCCTCTCCTGCTTCCTGAGCAGAAAAAAAATCTGGGTTGTTGTGTGTTTTCCGGGTTGTATGGCCATGTTCCCGAAGCATTCTCTCCTGACATTTCACCTACATCTACGGCAGGCATCCTCAGAGGTTGTGATCTCATAGCAGGCATCCTCATAGGATCCCTGCCATAGATGCAGGTAAAACGTCAGGAGGGAATGCTTTGGGAACATGGCCGTTCAGCCAGGAAAACACTCAACAGCCCAGTTATTCTAGTCATGAAAGCCTGAAAAAAATTCACTTCATGTAGCAATGAGAGGAAACAGTTGGAGGAGTTTGCCTGCCCTCCTATGAAGGGCCAAAGGAGAATGAAGTGTGACTTGATGAAATCTGGGCAAAGCAATTCTCAGGAAACAGGCGATTCACCACCACCACCACCTCTTCTTCCTCTTATACAAATATTCTGTTGACAGTCAGAAACAAGAGCTCACTTTGTACTACCAACCTTCCTGGTCCGTTTGACCTGAAGTTTGTAGGAACCCATGGTCCAATACGGCCGCTTCTGATTTTAATTACTGAAGCAGGCTCTGGACTTTTATTAACCACAGAGCAGCTGCCTCCCAACTTGCCATTTTGTGGATTTGTTTGCTTACACACACACACACACACACTCTTCCCCAACCACAACCATGAATATCCTGGCTGTAGTCCAAGACACAAGGTTGCAGAAGGCTGCCATAGATAATTTAGCTAGTTGCCCTGTAGGAGGCAAGGCTGGAAACAACTTCTGCATGTCCCCACGTAACTTCTGTGTCCATGTGATCCTTCTGGCAAGGAAGGGCATTAGTCACACATGCAAGTACCTTGAGTGCCTTTTCAAAAGATGCAGAGGTCTCTCTTTCATAAGCTAGGCAGCTACCTGCACATAAACTAGATAACCTGCACGGGATTGCCGTGGTATCTGGAAACCCCTTGGCCCAAAGAACTGGTTTATTTTGTACAGGAATGAAACATTCACCTCCTGAGCAGCATTCAGCACTGTTCACTTTTTGTCCTTGTATGTGTACAGACACAGCCTGAGATGCTGCCTTCTCAAGCTCTTTCGATTGGATGCAGAGATTCCTTTAATGTGTAAGGCTTCGGTCACACAGGGAAAACGATAATCAATGACCCTTTTATCCTGAATCTGTCCCCCCACTTAATCTTACCACACTGTACTTGACCTTGCGCTTGAGCTTTTCGGGCCCTTGGGTGCCCTCTGCCCTCATTCAAAGGTTCTTTGTCACATTCATTGCCTCTGATTGCCTAACATGAGGTTCTGACCTTACCTTTCCAGTTAGAAGATGCTCCCTAGAGACCCAGGAAGCATCAAACACATCCTCTGTTTTGTTTTTCCTGTGGTTTAATGTTTTTCAGTAACATAGTAGCTGCGAGAATGGCTAATGCCTGCCACCTTCTGGACAAACAGTGAACCGTTGCATGTAAACGCCACAAAATCTGTAATTTCTCCATATTTTTGGCTACACTAGATCTTCCTCCCTCTCATTCCCTTTCTCCCTGGCACTGCTGTTTGCGTACCTTGAAGTACTTATTGTGAAACTGCTTCCAGTTGTTTCTGTCCAGCTTTAAATGCATGGTTTACTGTGGAGAGGAGCAATTACATGATGTATTAGAAGGATACATGCCACGTATCCTTGTTTCCGGTCCAGCTTACCGGTCCGAACGTATCTCTCCTTATGAACCATCTAGGAATTTAAGATTGTCAGGGGAGGCCCTGCTCTCAATCCCACCTTCCTCCCAAGCGTGCCTGGCAGTGACGAGACAGGGCCTTCTCAGTGGTGGCCCCTTGGCTGCGGAACTCCCTCCCTCCCTAGGGATATTAGTTTAGCCCCCTCCCTCCTGACCTTCAGAAAAAGGGTAAAAACTTGGCTTTTTGAACAAGCATTTGGAAATGCAGCGGAATAAATAATTATGAAATAGGAAGAATGAACACGGAATGGCTAGACAATGCTGCTGGATAATGATTTAAACAGGATGACACTGGTGATGATATGTTTTAATGTATATGATTTAAATATTAGACTGAATGTTTTTAACTGTATTTTTATGAATGTATGGCATCAAATTTTGCCAATTCTGTAAGCTACCTTGAGTCACCGTAAGGCTGAGAAAGGCAGGCTACAAATGCCATAAATAAATAAATAAATAAATAAATAAATAAATAAATAAATAAATCTTCCAAGAGAACATATAGAGTGGGAACATCTATTAACAAAGACTCAGAATATTAAAGTAACAGTAACATATATTAATAGATAACAGATAGTAACAGATAACAGTAATGGCACTCCATGTAGTCATGCTGGCTACATGACCTTGGAGGTCTCTACGGACGATGCCGGCTCTTTGGTTTAGAAATGGAGATGATCACCAACCCCCAGAGTCAGACACAACTGGACTTAGTGTCAGGAAAAAGCTTTACCTTTAACAGATATTATAATGTGCATTTAACTGTTGCTCACAAACCATGACTCCTGCCATCATAGCAGGAAAGTTCTGAGGATACCTTTTATATTAAATGTAAATTTTGTGTTTTGTTTATATAGGATTCTGCTAAGCCAGACACAGGCAAACTTCGTGTTTTGGACTTCAACTCCCATAATTCCTTACAGCCTACTGACTGTTAGGAATTGTAGGAGTTGCAGTTCAAAACACCTAGAGGGCTGAAGTTTGCCCATGTTTGTACAAAGCACTTAGATATTCAAAAGAACTTTTAATTGACATTTACATAATAGTGTATCTGTATTCTTCATTAATTAACATACATGTCACACTGTTTTCTGAATATTCAGTGTCTTTGGTCTGGGTTTTGTTTCATGAAATTTCCTTGATTTTCAAAAACTATATCCATGTGATGCTAAAAAGAAATCGTTCTTTCTTAGGACTCTCCTCCAACAATTACAGAAGCTGCAAACTTTAGTAACAGGGAAGGTTTCCAGGCCGTACAAAATGGCTTCTACACAGACAGGGACCTGCCTGATGGTAAAGTCTGCATGTTTTCACTACCTTATTTTCTTAGACTTGACCTGTATTTCTTTATGTAGACATCTTGCTCCCTAAAGCATCATAGATTTCAGGTATATGTATTTTTAACCAGTGAAGCTGAACCTTCCTGCAAATTCTGGCTGACATCCTGTTAGTGATTTAAAGAGACATAAGCCGTGTTTACACCTGCATATGTCTTTTGGAGAGGTGGTCATTACAGAAGTGGGTATTCTCTACCCAGCTCATAGAAAAACAAAGCTTCCTCTTACTGAGATGGGCAAGAATCTACCAACCAAATTTCCTTCACACTTTGAACTCAGTTTGCAGCCCTTGAAGTAAGCAGAGGCAAAAAGGGAGAAGTAGAAGGAGAGAGAAACTGGGACATTTTAAAATCATCTGGAAAAGTGGGAAGACACAGGATTAATTGAGACTGTCTTTGCCAAGTTGGAATGATTAGAAGGCACAAGGTCTTTCTGGAACTTTAAACTTTGAACCCACGAATGCTCATGGCAGCTCGAAAACTGTATCATTGTGTTGCACTCCAGGCCTCAAAACACCTATGGCCACTGAACCACACAAGAGTCCAGGAATATCAACAAACAGTATATTGTAAAAAATATATATAAAGCATATAAAATCAAGAATAAGAAAAGAAGATATATAATCCAAAAAGGTTTAGCAGCAGTTGATAACCAAACAGTAATCCAAATGTCTCATAAAGTTCCAGAGGTAACAAAGACCCGGAACAGCCAGAAATCACAGGTACAGCATAAGTCCCCAAGCGAACAGGAATAACTAGTAAAAACTTAAACAGGAATACAGGAACATTAACATAGAAAACTTCCAGGATATGCTAGATCCAAAACCAAGGCTTGACCTGAACCAAGAACCAGAGAACTCAGGCTAAGTTTCTCACTTTAATGCTACGTTGCCTGAACTGAACCTAAAGGTAAACAAGTTGCTGTTTAATAGATACCCATGAAATCATACAATTTCCCATGAATTTTCTCGACAACATTCCCGCATAATCTTTCTGAATGACACAACCTATTTTCTGCTCTGATCTGTAAACAATTACTTTTGTTGATCTCTGTAACTACAGGTGGTTTTCCCTGGGAGCCCTCCATAACTCAGCTCTTCACTCAATTCCTTATCTTCTGTGGCTACTTCTGACTCCTTTGAATGGCCTTGAGGCCCTGTACTTTCCAAGCTAGTTTTTGCACAGAGAGAACCATCATTTCCCAGACTTGAATTTCCCAGACTTCCCAGAATTTCCCATCACTTTGTGCCACAGGAAAGCCCACAATCCACTCTAATTCATCAGTTAAACCATCAGCCTCAAGCTGACCTACACTACATTAGCTGGTTTCCACTATATGAGCAAGTTTACCCCAATTCCCATCTTTTCAGTCTACTAAGAGGGGGGGGGGGCATAAAAGTCACAGTGAAACAATAGATACCACAAGCCAAGCTTTGAATCTTGGTCTGAAACTGCAGGGTGAGGAAAGAATGAGCCATGGGCCCATTCACACACACCCCCTCCCACTGATCTTACTTTATACCTCACCAAGCCTACAGGCCTCCCACATCATTTTCCTCTTAATTTTCCATGCTGTTGTTTTCCTTCAAATCAGGCCAAACTTTTGGGTTTTGATGTGGACCCACTGACCGACTCCTCGTGCATACATTCTGAAAAGGATTTTTTTTTTGCTTCAGTGCCAAAATAGCAAGCCTGAACTACTTTGAGTGCTATTGTTGAGAATAATAATGTTGCTCGGTCTCAGCAACTACCTCCCACACACATACGTATGCAGGGTAAGATTTGGCATCCCCTGTATCAAAAGGATTTGTATTTCTATTGTCTTTTTATTTAATCCTCACTAATCTAACTTGGACTGTTCTTGCTATCCATTAATATGTAATCCTGGCAACCCACTGAACAGAGCTTGGCATACTGTGAACTGACACAGAATAAGTTCTTTTTAAAAAGAGTAGATAAGAAGTGCCATTTTCCTCTTTTACCTCTATCTGCAGTTTTAAAAAAAGAGGCCAGGCTCTAGTTCATTGTATATTAATTTGACTTTTTAATTCAGGTATTTAAATGTCAAAGGCTTGCAGTACCATTAAGCCTTAACTGATACCTTGTCCTAGGAATTTTAGATTAGATTGCAAGTTACATTTTACAGGCATTTGAAACCTGAACTAAGGAGATGAGGTGGCGCAATGGGTTAAACCCTTGTGCTGGTTGAACTACTGATGTGAAGATCACTGGTTCGAATCCACAAGACAGGGTGAGTTCCCATTTGTCAGCTCCAGTTTCCCATGCGGGGACATGAGAGAAGCCTCCAACAGGATGGTAAAACATCTGGGCATCCCCTGGGCAACGTCCTTGCAGGCGGCCAATTTTCTCACACCAGAAAACAAAACAAAACAAAAAACCCTGAACTGTATGTATTTATCATTATTGTGATATTTTTAACCTGTTTTGTTTAGTGAGTCATTCTGAGAACAGGGCAGTATATAAATATCCTTAAATAAATAGCTATAGCTAGATTTGTTAGTCAGTCAGTCAATCTGAGATAAAAAATAACTCACTTATACAGTTTTCTCATCAGTTGCTGTATATATGCTGCCATCATTGAAACCTTAATCACCCTTAGTTTCAGTTAAAAACCAAAAATGACAAAAATAATTTGATGAAGGCTGACATATTTGCAATACAGCAATACATGGAGTGAGAGTTGCCAGATGTTCAAGCTGGGTTTAGAAAAGGCAGAGGAACGAGAGACCAGATTGCCAATATCCACTGGATAATGGAGAAAGGCAGGGAGTTTCAGAAAAACATCTATTTCTGCTTCATTGACTATTCTAAAGCCTTTGACTGTGTGGATCATAATAAATTGTGGCAAGTTCTTGGTGGGATGGGCATACCAAGCCACCTTGTCTCTCTCCTGAGGAATCTGTACAAGGACCAAGTAGCAACAGTCAGAACTGACCACGGAACAACAGACTGGTTCAAGATTGGGAAAGGCGTACGGCAAGGCTGCATACTCTCACCCAACCTTTTTAACTTGTATGCAGAACACATCATGCGATGTGCGGGGCTTGATGAATGCAAAGCTGGGGTGAAAATTGGTGGAAGAAACATTAACAACCTCAGATATGCAGATGACACCACTCTGATGGCCGAAAGCGAGGAGGAGCTGAGGAGCCTTCTAATCAAGGTGAAAGAAGAAAGCGCAAAAGCCGGGTTGCAGCTAAACATCAAAAAAACCAAGATTATGGCAACAAGAATGATTGACAACTGGAAAATAGAGGGAGAAACCGTGGAGGCCGTGACAGACTTTGTATTTCTAGGTGCAAAGATTACTGCAGATGCAGACTGCAGCCAGGAAATCAGAAGTCGCTTACTTCTTGGGAGGAGAGCAATGACCAATCTCAATAAAATAAGAGTAGAGACATCACACTGCCAATGAAGATCTGCATAGTCAAAGCCATGGTATTCCCTTTAGTAACCTACGGATGTGAGAGCTGGACCTTAGGGAAGGCTGAGCGAAGGAAGATAGATGCTTTTGAACTGTGGTGTTGGAGGAAAGTTCTGAGAGTGCCTTGGACTGCGAGAAGATCCAACCAGTCCATCCTCCATGAAATAAAGCCCGACTGCTCACTGGAGGGAAGGATACTAGAGACAAAGTTGAAGTACTTTGGCCACATCATGAGGAGACAGCAAAGCCTAGAGAAGACAATTATGCTGGGGAAAGTGGAAGGCAAAAGGAAGAGGGGCCGACCAAGGGCAAGATGGATGGATAGCATCCTTGAAGTGACTGGACTGACCTTGAAGGAGCTGGGGGTGGTGACGGCCGACAGGGAGCTCTGGCGTGGGCTGGTCCATGAGGTCACGAAGAGTCGGAGACGACTGAATGAATGAACAACAACAACGACATGTTTGCCTGTTGTTAAACATCACACTCTTTTTGACCATTAGTGCACTATGAATGAAGGCATTTCTTCTGGTGGATTTTCACATCAGTCAGAAATGCAGTAAGGAATGTTTTTTCCATCACTTGACAGTGGTGTCTAAATACTTGTTTCTGAGAATGTCATTTTAAGACTGTCAAGGCTAAGGACCCCTTCACATAATAACACTGTATAGTTTGGTTCCACTTTAATTGCCATAGCTGCATCCCATGGAATCCAGGGATTTGGATTTTGGTTAGTCACTAGGGCTCTGAAGTTGAGAGTTTTAAATACTCCTCCCAAAGGCTGCATGTACACTTACCAAAATAATCTGGAGAACCATGTTCTGGAGATGGCCCAGATGCAGCACAGGAGCAACCCTAGAGCCCTTTGGTATCCAATGGCTGACCAAGCCAAGAATGTATTAGAGTCACTGCTGCTGTTTTGCCAACTAGAAGCAGCTCCCTGGGAGAGCCTTGCTGGCAGCATTGCTTCTGTTGAGGTTACAACAAGGAGACTAGCCATGTGAGCAGCAGAAATGATGTCACCAGCAAGGCAGTGTCAGAGAGCTGCTTATGCTTCAGCAGTGTGTCTGTTTACAAATGGACACTGGGTTGGGCTGAATCCAGCCCAGTCCATCTTTCCACACCTCAAAAAACACTGGAATCAGTCCAGAAATTCCTGGAATAAATTGCAGCTTCCCTTACTTTGGATTAAAGCCAGGATGCAGCACTATTGCTATAAATCCACTGGAGGTTATGTGGATCCCTTGTAGCAGTTGCAAAGTGAGTCCATGTAGACATGACCTAAATTGCAAATCACAGTCTTTCTTTGGATGTTACAATGGCAGTTAAAGTGGAATTATAGTTTGTTGTATGAAAAACTACTAAAGCTTGGGAGTTTCAGATTCAAGTCTGAGGGCTCTTCCACACAGGCACAAAATGCAGTTAGTTCCGAGCAGCATTGAGGCCACACTAGCCAGCCCTAAGCTGCCTCCATGGCAGGAGATGGGCTAGACAGCCCAGCTGTGCCAAAGCCAATTCAGCAGGCTGGATATGGGCTGGGTGTCCCAACCTCCCTGCACCCTCACCCCTCCCCCCCCCCCAAACTACAGAAAATTGTCCATTACCCTACATGGCTCAGGTGCTTCCTATCTTTGTGACTGCATCCCACCCTATGAATCAGTGTGTGCTCTAAGATCTGCCAGGAAGGCCCTCCTTTTGGTTCCACTTCCGTCTCAAGTGTGGCTGGTGTGGACAAGGAAGAGGGCCTTCTTGGTGGTGGCCCCTTGGCTCTGGAATGCCCTCCCCAGAGAAATTAGGCTAGCCCCCACTCACCAATGTTTTTGTAAAAAAATGAAAACATGGCTTTTCAAGCAGACCTTTGAACAGGGTTAAACGTTGATTTATACCTGAGAAGCAAGCACTTTGTTTGACTCGGGCACTTAACATGACTGAACTGATATGACCATTTTATCTGCAGCTATCCCTGCATTTTATTGTATATTTTAATTAATAAGAGATTTATTCTGTTTTAAGTACATATGTTTTAAGTTATTGAAATTGTTACTGTTTACAATTGTTGTGCATTTTACAGTGTTTTACTGTATATGTATATCCCACTGCACTACCACGTGCTTGTATGCTGCCCCAAGTTCCTTTTGAGAGATGATGGCTGGGTACAAATAAAGTTGTTGTTGTTGTTGTTGTTGTTACCATTAAAGCATGATCTGTACTTCCTGATTCAGCATCCTGCAGGAAGCAATAGAGCCTAGGAGGAGTAAGGGCCCCCTCCTCCACAGCTCAGTTGCTTCCAAAATCAGGAGTGACAGATCCTGCAGCAATGATAAGTAGTGACTTTCTGTAGTTTTGGGAGGGACTGGGGGACAAGAAGGCACTGTTACCCCACCTCTGTGGGATCCCTTCGCGTGGGGGGATATGGGTTGACTGTTGGGATGTCTTCTTGGATACCACATTGGGATCTCAGATGGCAGTCTCCATTGCCAAAACACCAGGAAAGGTCTGGATCTTTTTGGATGATTCAGACCTTTCCCATTTTTTTAAATCCAGAGTCAAGACAGATTAAGTTACCTCCCCCAGATTCAATTGTCAGTGTGATGTGTGGATGCACCAGACTAATGTGATTCTACTGCCCATTAAATAGTAGAGTTGATGGGGCCCTGTTCAGCCAAAAAGCTCACTGGATGACTTTGAGTAATTAATTGTCTTTCAGCCTAATTTACCACACAAAATAGCTTGAATTATACATTTTGCTGAAAGCTGCTTAGAGAAATGGCAGGATTAAAGTGGAATAAATAAAGAATACATGCATATAGTTAATACTACCACCTTGATGACAGAGCAATTGTTTTGATTGCAGCTATAACATCAGACTTTTCATGGAACAGTAGTACTGTACCAGTAAAGGCTCAAATAAATGTGTATTCACACAGTGTTTCTGTTAACTGTCTAACTTTCTCCCTTGTCTCATCCACAGGTCCTAGTTGTGTGCTTTGTCCTCGTCCTGGGCTCCCTGGTGCCGTGTCTCCCAGAATTCTCTGCAACATCACAGACAGTAAAAGCAGCACCAACCGCAGACATTTATACAACTAGTAAAAGTGAGTTAAATTTGACCTCTTTTGGCAATCACCGTAGAAAGAACTGTATTGGGTCCCAAGCTTGAAAAAGTTATGTTTTTTTCTTCATTCTGACTGAATATCTTTCCTGACTATAGTAAGAATGTAGTATTCTTCTTCTATCTATTTGTTTCTTCCTTCATTCTGTCCTTTACTTTCCCTTAAGGGTGTTGGCTTTAGCTTATTATTTTCATGCCTCTATACTAAGCCATTCAGTAAACACCAGCTTGACTTTCCAAAGATTCTTCTTGTCTTCCTCAGTTCAGTGCTCCATCTCCACTCCTTCCAATATGAGGAGAACTGAACAAATAAGCAGGAGGTCTCCCTGACCTTATAAAAATGAAACCTCAAAGCAAACTTCTGATAGACACTAGTTAAAACTATCCGAGTACTGTGAGACAGAGGAAGAGCACTGCCAATAAAAAAAGACAATGGAACCGGAGAACTAAAACACATCTCTAAGATCATGTGTGAACATGCATTGTACTTCTGGGAAAAAGCAAGAATGTACTGGGCCCCAAAACAGATTTGAATTCCTCAGAAAACCTGCAAAGGAAAGGGGATTGCTTTTGTTTAGGATTCTTATGTGCCCTCCATCACAGAGGCCAAGTCCTCTGTTTGAGGTATTTTCAGCCAAGTTCTGTTTGAAAGAAATAGAAGTTGTTTGAGGCAGGGCCTTAAAGTCCCCCCATCAACAGTTTGTGCCTGAACAAAGCTTAAACAGGAACCCATATTGGGTATGCTTGCCAAGTTTGGTCTAGATCCATCATTGTTTGGGTTCATAGTGCACTCTGGATGTAGTTGAACCACAACTCCTATAAATCCCTCCAAATACCCCCAGTAATTTTTGTTGGTTCTGGGGATTCTGTGTGCCAAGTTAGTTCGAAGTCCATTATTGGTAGAGTTCAGATTGCTCTTAGATTGCAGGTGAACTATACATTCCAGTACCTACAACTCCTATAAAACATGGTAAATTCTCCCCAAATCTCTCTAGTATGTTCATTTGCTGAACAATTTTTCTGTTTTCTGTATGCCATAGAAAATAATAGGAAAGGGTTAAAGGAGAGGCAGTGGTCAGGGTCATGCAAATTGCACACCAATGTAGAAAGTCAGAAACACTGAGATGTCTGTGGTGGAGGAAAAACAGAAAATCTAGGATGAAATTGTCCCCATATGAAACCCTTCACTTGGGTGGTGGGAAGTATGGTGTTAGTGAGGACATTGCCAGGACTCTTGTACATGTTCATGGCGCTCACTATAACTTGCAATGCCATTGGAGGGAGGGCCATTGGGGTTTCCTGAGTAGTGGGAGCTATAGCTGTTTGTGAAGGCAGGAGCTTGTCTGTGTAAGTGGACACCCCAGCCACACACACACATTTCACTTTTATAATGTATATAGATGTAACAATTGCATGACATGTAGGAATTCAACTTGTTCAGATTTTGTTGGTATAGAGACATAATAAGGGAGCATCATGTTCACTGAATTGTTGTCTCCTATGTAGATCTTAAGGGCATGGAGTTGTGGGGGAGGCCGACTCAAAAACTCTGCAATATGCAAATAGCAGATGGTTAGGATGTTTATGTATATCATGAGCACATATGTCCATGTATTCTGGCTCATGGCAATGTGGTGTAATGTTTAGTGGGCTGGATTGGGACTTGGGGAGATTCAGCTTTTCTTCCACAATGATCCATGAATGTCCCTGGTTAACCTTGAGGCAGGCTCTCTCTTTTAGACGGAACAACCTCACAAAGTTGTTGCAGAGACAAAGTGGGAAAAATAAGTGCTGTTTTGAATTGATTGGAGGAAATATAGCATATTTTAAACATATCTAATAAGAATGCTAAATGAATGCCAAAGAGCTAGTGTAGTCCATTGACATTATAAAGCCTTGTTCTTAGCACCTAACAGATCTCTTCTTTTTGCAGTTCAATCCCGGAGCCTTCTATTCTACGATGAACATGGGGGCTCCTTAGAGGAGGGCTACAGCTCCTTCATCTCTGTGGAACATCCTGAAAAGTGGGAAGCTGGAAGAAATGGAGAGGAAGAGCAGCCACCTCCAGAGCATGGGCACAGTCCGCTGGTTGTGCCCCATGAAACTGCCAAATATCTGCACAAATCTCACCAGCAGGGTCCAAATCAGAACCAGACCAGCTCAACTCTCACTCATTCCAAGGAGCAATTCCATGAGAGGTGAGCAGATCCACTTTCCAACTTCTATCAAATATCCTCAGAGAACTTGGGCAACCCCTTGAAACAACAACAACAACAACAACAACAATCTTTATTTATATCCCACCCCTCTTCTGAAGGGACTCAGGGCAGTTTACAGTAAAACAAACAAATATAGTCAATTATATAACACAGACAATATTCGCATATCAATTAATAAAAACAAAAGAGTACAATAGTGTAAACATAAATAAATAGTTTAAATGACTATTTAGCCCTCTAAAAACAGTAAATATAAAAATGCCATTTAAAACCAGCCAATTCCTTTGATCAGGGCATCTAGCATTATAAATTATAGTTCTAATAACCATTTAAAGTCCTGTCTGATAAGGTGGTTGATCCTCTTAGCCATTATCAAAAGCCTGCTTAAATAGCCAGGTTTTCAACTCCTTCCTCAAAGTTGTGAGGGTGGGTGCTTGTCTAATATCCTTGGGGAGGGCATTCCAGAGTCGGGGGACCGCTACTGAGAAGGCCCTCTCCCTCGTCCTGACCAACCTCGCTTGTGAGGGACGTGGGATCAAGAGGAGATCCTCTCCGACTGATCTTAGGGCCTGAACAGGTTCATAAGGAGATATGCGGTCATGTAAATAGGCAGGACCCGAACCGTATAGAGCTTTATAGGTAATAACCTGCACTTTGAGTTGGACCCAGAGGCAGATTGGCAACCAATGGAGCAAATCAAGAATAGTGGGGGAGATATCAGAGCAGCCATCAGAGATTTGAGTCTGATATGTGAAGAGACAGCATGTGGCAAAATGATTAACTTGTATTCTTGTTTTCTTTCTTTCCTTTTCCTGCAGAGAGAGAACCTCCAGTGATGCAGCTGAATACTTATAGCAGTTGCTAGCCCTCAGGGCCTCTTCTGTCTGGCTCAGATCCTTTCCCAGCTGCATGATTAAAAGCAGCAATCCTCTGCACACTTACCTGGGAGTAAGTCCCCTTGGACCCAGAGGGCCTTACTCCCGAGTCGACCTGCATAGGAGGGAGTACACTGTAGGGGGATTGGGGCTGTAATCATAAACATACTTTCTAAGGATTTAGCCAGGTTGAACATAGTGAAGCCTATTTCTGTGTAAACATGCATAGAACTGCACTGTCAGTGGGAAAGAACGCTTCATTTAGACATCTCCAAATTGGCCTTGAGTTCAGTGTCTTGTCCCTTCTCTCCTTTGTTCCCCGGTGCCAACGCTGTTCTTTCTGTTGAGATTCACCATGATCTGCAGGGATAAAAAGTTGGCAACATAGACATTAATCCCTGATTTTCCCCTCTCACACTTGATCAATGTGGCCACTAGTTACAGTATATTATTTCCTCCCTATGTAATAGGTCACCAGACATTCTCCACTTCTAACTATACAGTTCCAATTATGTACTGTGTAAACTAACTCCAGCCGCAAGTGTCTCAATTTCAAGAAAAAAATCATTTCTTCCTTCTGAGATTCTATTCTGTATTGTCTTAATTTTTGTATGATATATTTTTAAAGCTGTAAAAATGAAGGTGGAAAGATAAGAAACCAACATGATTAAATGTCCCGTTAGGAATAAGAATAGTTTGCAAAGGAAATTTTCACTTGCATCATCAGATAAAAATTCATAACATCAATCACTGTGTTATTAGTGTGGCTACACATTTGGTGTCAAACTCATTGAACTTAATGGATTTGCTTCTGAGAGTAATAGGCTACCAATGTAGTCTTGTCTCATCTTCTTGCCAAAATACCGATTCATTTTTGTAGATTCTGTTTTGATATCCATTTTTTCTTTCACCAAAATTGATCAATGTAGAAAAAATGCATATTCTTTCTGATATGAAAATACCACACACAGTTCAGTGCTTGGAAGCTTTTGCAGGAATGGCTTTGAGACCCTCACATAGGGGATTAAGAATCAATACCCATCATATTTTCAGTTCCTTTACCCTTCTTCCATGTATCCTTCCAATTCCATTTTCTTCGGGTATTTAGATTTAATGAAGTCCTTGTTTGCTCTTGTGAGAACACAAGAGTGCAACTGGACGGATCTCCACAACACTTATGATGCCCACAGGTGTAGCCACAGATGGTAGGGATGTACACATGCTTCCTAAACAGCTCCATTCTTGTACTGTTTTCCTAGTGCCATTTGAGACAGAAGTATGAAATTGCAGGCTTCACTTAAATTTCCATGTCAATATAAATGCAAGAATCAGTGCTTGAAAAAGTTGCTCCTTTAGTCTATGACCCCCCAAATTCCCCTGTGAGCTTGCCAGTACCTTGGCAACAGCATTTCCAGATCTGATAGGAGTGGAGTGATCCTCCACAGCTACTCTTCAATAAAGTCCACCAGGGCCAAAATACCACTGCAGCTCCCCCATCCCACCTTCCCCAGCCCAAAACTAGCACAAAGAACCACTGCTCCATCCGTGCATATGCTTTTTATCTATTCAGAAATTCTACTGGGCATGGTCCATGTGTGCCTCCGATTCACAATGTTGTACAGAGACCAAAAGCAGAAATTGTTTGTACATAATGAACCTTATTTTGTATTATTGCCAATCCCTTAAGATATTGTATTTTGGAGACTCTCAGATCCTATTTTCTGTATTGTATTTTATTAAGATTTATTGCGGGCTTGGCCTCTATGAACTTCCTCTCTTTGCAGGGTCCTGTTTCCTCTTAGCCTACCAGCTGATGTTTGCTTTGTTCTGGTTTTAATATATCACTGTTTTCCTCCTGTTACTAGCTCTGCCATTGCTTTCAAGCAGCAAAATTAAAAAAAAAAGATTCAGCATCAGCTCTGTTGTTTGGATTTTTCATTATTATTTAATTGATGAGCTATTCATTTAGAAAACGTTTAGTTAAATGCAGTTCTGCCATCATCCCATGAATAAATGCATTCTCCCATCATCAACGGAGGCATTCAAGCGGAAGAGAGTGCTTCTCTACGGGCTTGTTCGGAAACTTTATTACTGTGTTGTGATGTCAGCAGGTTCCCCACAAGTCTATTATAATAGTCCCAGTCCTACAGAAGGAGCCTTGTAATCATAATGTAATGTAATATTGGCATATTAATTATATTATATTTAATACAATATATTGGATAGGAAGTCTTGTCACACAGCAGTTCTCCTTGGGAGAAAAACATATTTGTTCTTATATAATGGCTTTATTAAAATATGCATATCCCCTCTAGTGCAGGCATGGGCAAACTTTAACTAGCCAGGTGTTTTGGACTCCAACTCCCAGACTTCCTAACAGCCTACTGGAGTTGAAGTCCAAAACACCCGGAGGGTCGAAGTTTGCGCAAGCCTGGTCTACTGGTTTGAACACTGGTTTATGTTTCTGGAAAACAGGATTCAATTCCCTGTTCAGCCATGGAAACCCATTAGGACAGTGGTTCCCAACCTTTTTTTTAAATCAGGGACCACTTTGACCAGAGACCACTCTCAAACATTAGTACCAAAAGGGCTACAAATCAGTTTTTGGTCAACTTTAGATTCGGTTTGGTTATTTGGGATACTGATTCAGAAAATTGCATTGGATAGACCACATCAGCTCTAGTTTCTGATACAGAACATATGCCATCCAGTAGTCACCATCTGCTCACTGAAAACCATATTTCATAATCTAGAGCCACAGACCTTATTTTAGGTCTCACGGCCCACCAGTGGGCCACAGCCCACAGGTTGGGAACCACTGTATTAGGTGAACAAAGACTGAATAAATTGTGCCAAGAAAACCCATGCTAGGCTTGCCTTAGGGTTGCCATGAGTCAGAAACAACACAAATGCACAACATAAACATAAACCTTTTATTTTAAAAAAAATACTGTTTTGAAAGCGTGAGAAATTGAATAATATGTGTGCTTGTTACTAGTTTTAAAAACCCAATATGAATTCCAAGCAGCTTATCTTTTCAATATTATGATTTTTAAAAGAACAGAGTTTTTAAAAGGGCCAAAGATGTAGCAAGTAGAAATGGAGATAAGGACTGCTTTAGATCCCAAAACATCCATGCTACACATAACCATGATGTGCTGACAAGATGCTCATAGAGTAATAGAACTGGAAGAGACCTTGGGCCATCTAGTCCAACCCCCTGCCATGCAGAAAAAGCACAATCAAAGCACACCGAACAGATAATAATCATCATCATCATCATCTTTATTTATATCCCGCCACCATCTCCCAAAAAGGACTCAGGCAGCTTACATGGCACTCCAAGTGCAGTATATAATAACATAAACAGTACATGAGTATAAAACAATATCATAAAAATTAGAAAAACAACCACTATCAACACATAAAATAATTTGCAAGAAAAAAGTCCTTCTTCCTGAGTAATTTCCTATGTGGATGGCAATGAAGCCTGAATAGGGCCCTACATGATATGATTAACTATGGTGATGAAAAGTCCCAGTAGTTTTAACTTATGAGATCTAGCTCTACTGCAACCCTGGCAACCTCTAGGACACCTTAATGATGAACTGTGCTTGTGCTGTAGTTGCTCTGCATTGCAGTTGAGAGAGCTCGGTCAGAGCTGTGATGGGGTTAGGTCAGGACACATTCCCCCCGCTTCATACTCTCCTGATGAAGTGGTTTCCTATCATCTCTTATTACTATGGCCAAGTGAGAGGGTACACCAAGGAAAAGGCAGGCAAATCTAGTAGAAATTCAAAAATTGCTACCTTGCTGATGGTAGTAAGTGGCTCAAGGGTTACTTAAGAGCCATTGGGAGGTCATTGTGGGACTTGATAGCCTTTCAATCAGAACACTGTTCTCTGGGGCTGCTTCAAATAGAATTGGCTGTCTATGTAGGTATGGGTGAAGTCAGACAGGTATCACATAACACTCTGCATATGGAATTCTGCATCTCTACTATTGTGCCCTCCAGGCAGCATCTGCAAGGTGGGACACACTGTGACTGTTATCAACTGGTCAGCGAGTGGAAGGAACAGCGCTGGCACACAGGCAGCACCACACTGCAATTCTGTAGCTACGAGAAGAGAGCTGATGACGTCTTTCAGAGAAAGAATGTTTAAAGAGTGCAATCAGATCTTCTCTTCACTAGGCTGATTATGCCTGTTTCCCCTTAATAGGATTATTATGAAGAGTGGCAAATGCATCTCTGTCAATCCCAAAAGCTCCTGGATGGAAGGAGTGATTGGGAGATAATAATAATAATATACTTTATTTACAGTATATTTTGCTTTATCTCCCCAGAGGGACTCAGAGTGGATTACAGTACATATAAGGCAAATATTCAATGCCTTTTTACACAATGACATACAGTAAAACCACACAGACAAGATAAAGGTCTTCCCCTTTTCATCTCCAACATCTGGAGGCGATGCTCAATTCCGGCCATGGGGGAGGTGCCCTTGTTCCATTTTTCCATGCTGAGGAGTCTGTTGTCCATAGACATCTCTGATCGTGTTTTGCCAGCATGTCTACATGGGGCACCCTTTTACCTTCCCACCAAGACAGTACCTATTGATCTACTCACATTGCATGCTTTCGAACTGATAGGTTGGCAGAAGCTAAAACATCATTGGAGAGCCCAGAACTGAAATGCTGTTTGACATGATGGAAAACACTCTATTTTTCCAACTCTTTGGCTTATTCAACCAGCTTCACAGCTAGGTTCTTTATGTTGTTACTTTCTGGATCCGAAACAAGAGCTAGGTTTTTCCAAACTCTGGTCTTCCAGGTGTTTTGGGCTTCAACTTCCAGAATTCCCAACAAGGCAGGTGAGACTTCTGACCAGATTTTGCAGTTAACTGATCTAAGTAATTTCAAAAGTGCATGGGTGTCACTTGCTTTGTGTTTCTGTAGAAGTAGAAGAAACGTAAGATGTATTATACAGATTTGTTGTCATCCTTTATTCCATTCTGTTCATTTCTCCATTTGCAGAGTTTGGGAAAGTTGGATTTTGGTATTACAACTCTCAGAATTCGTCTAAACTCTTTACTAACAGAGGAGTGATCTCAAATGCTGAATACTACCCCCAAATAAGTTCAGCACATTGGAGAGCTCCCTTCATCTTCAAGTCAAAACCTGAACCCTGGGACCCCATTGACTAATCCTGGCAGGTACAAGTCAACGTTTGGAAGAATGTTGCCTTTGTAATTGAAAGAGGGAACCAATTGGAAAAACTGTACCCTGCATCCTTTGAGTAGGAAAGAGAATATTCTTAATATTACCAAACCTTCTTTAGGAGCCCACTCACCTCCTCATGAACCCTGTGCAGGCCTTATGTTTCAGCCTACAGCTCATTCCCATCCCACTCTTCTCCAAATATAGCTGAGGAAATCCCATCATTAACAAGGAAACCCGGAGCCCTTATCATGTACAATTACAGCATTTTGTTACCATTTCAACTCCCATGACTCCATTGTATGAGATCCTGGGATTTATAGTTCTGTAAGTTCCACAGTTCTAACCCTTGGTCTCCTGTCACACATTTTGTGAGTTTTATTCTGAAGATCCCTCCCTGCATCAGATACTCAGGCCTAAAGGTAATCAATACAGGAGATAAATGGCTGTATTGTGTGCAAGTGTGCCCGATATTTCCTTTCAGCTCTTAAAAGGAACAGACACACTTATAGGAAACAAAAGAGAGAGCAATTTATTACAGAGCTAGTGTGACATAGTGATTTACATTACAACTCTGGGGAACAGAGTTTGAATCCCTGCTCACTCAGACAAAAACAAAACACTGGGGCAGCTTTGGGTGAGCACATGCTCTCAGTCCCAGAAAACCTTGTGATGGGGTCACCAAGAGCTATAAATGTCTTCAAGGCAAACAACAACAGAGACATGACATGGTGAGTCTAAGGTGATGCTATCACTGGGATTTCCTGGCTCCGAGAGTGTGTGACTCATCCAAAGTCATCCAAGGGGTTTCTGTGGTTGAGCAGGGATTTGAACCCTAGTCTCAATTGGAGTCCACACCACTATACCATGCTGGCTTATGAAAGCAGCTTACCTCCCTAGTATAGATTCAACAAATGGGGATCTCATTCTTGTGAGAGCAACTGCCCTATAGATGCTTTGAAAACATGAGGTGAGTTTTGTTATGGAGTTGAAGAGTCATCTATCTCATGACAAGATGTGCTGACATACCTCATCATCTGGGGGAACACTTTCAGGATTTGAACCATGGCAGTTAAAATGGAGTCAGGATGCTCACTGCTGCCTACGCAGGCCGTGGATGATGTGGTATGTCTTCCATTTTGATGCACCAAGTGTTCCATGGCAGTTAAGTGTGGAGTAGGGGACCCAGAGTGAAGCAGTTAGTGGTAAGGATCACAAAGGGGCAGCAAATAGGGGGTTATTTTTCCTAGTTTTGTTTTATTACTTCACTTTCATTTTAGGAAAGGAGAGAAGTGTCTTTCTCCATAGATTTTCTGATTCAGTTACCTAAACACCTTCTTTAATTTGCATTCTCCTGGCAGGAATGATCACCTTGAATGTTGTGGGGAAGGATAGAGGTCAATAAGAGGTGAATATGACGTAGTTAGCCTACATAGATAACATTTGAGGCAATGGAAGACATGTCATAAGGAATTGAAACACAACTATTTTCTTTTTGTGGATTACAAATATTACTTGCTACATTTTCCAAAGGAAATTATTATTGAGGATAATGAGAAAGATCTCAGTAAATACAGACTTATCAGTCTAGGATGTCACAGTAAAATACAAGCAAAACAGGTGGAAGATCAGCAAGAAGGATTTGCAACTCCCAGGTAAGTAATCTGAAGGCATGAGTTTCTTGAAACAACAACTGTCA